AAGAAAAAAAACAGAAAAGAAATGCATAAATGTCGCGCGAACACACACAGATACATTCGCGTGCGGTATTTGAGTCTACGACCGTCGACCACTGTTTTATCCATTTGCTCTCGGTCTGCTCGATACACAATTTGTTGCTTCTGTCCAACCGTTCGACTATTAAAATCCATCACTGTTTCTCCTTTGAATCTATCGATTCGCACATAACAATCTCCGAAATCTTTATCTTCCGCACATATTTCCTTTACCTCTTATGCGACAATCTTTCTGATTTTTATTACTCATTCGAAAAATCCGTATTCAATAACTCATTGCACATCATTTTTTATTTATGTTTATTCTTTCCACTTGAAATAACAACGATAAAGAATCGACAGCATCATCAGTCGACCTAAAAGCAATAGCAACATCAAAAACCATACAATATATACATCCCGTAATACTTTGGTCATAAAATGCACAACTATAAAATGATGAACGGAACGATATCGACAAAGTGACTGTGTTGGTTGTTTCGTTCGTGCATTTTTTGTTTTTCATTTTTCGTTCTCACTCGATATGCAAATCATACAGTGAATTCTACGGAATATATTCGCATTGACGAACCAATGACAAGCGACGTAAGTGCATCCAAAAGATTGGGACTTGTGTTTTTATTTATATGTGATTGTGTGTGTGTGTGTGGATCGGTGATGACGGCGGAAAATTGCCATCGATAGTAATAAAAAAAATGAATATATACCGGTTGCAATTGCTCACCGGTCACATGCAAATCCATTGCTATATGTTGAAATTGACTTCTTTTCTGCATTCACCCCGATTAATTTTATGACATTGTTTATCAATTTTTATGACTTTTTCATAACCAGCACTGTCATTGTCCATTACATGGCACTTGAAAAAGTTTAGCGTCATTTTTTGTGTGTTCATTAATTGACTAGATGGGGCTCCATAAAAGTCAACGGGAATGACACAACATTCACAAACAACAATTGCTTAAGCTCCTGTTAATGAGCGAGAGAACGAAAAAGAGAGAAACGAAATGAAGCAGAAACCGATTTCGTGATGCAAAAATCAAAAGAGGGGGGAAGGGGGGTACGTATGTTTGCATTCATCGTGTTCATTTATGACCAATAAAATGTATAAAACAGTAGTAGAGTTGATGCACAGATACGATCGAAATGATGCGAAATGGCGAAATTTCTTTACGATTTTTGATATCAAGTGTGTGTGTGTGTGCATGCGCTCAAGGACTCTATCAATCCAATGAAACATGCAATCGATTTCATTCGGCAGAAGATTGTTGAAATTTTGTAATTGCATTTTTAGCACTCATAAATGGAAACAAGTTAACTGGAAGTTTATCATTCCACCGACCAATTTCAGTTGGCTTATCGGGACGCCCGCCTCATTTGCCGACAATACACAAGCACACACTTAGTTATAGCACATGTATGATGAGAACGTGTGCTGAAAATATAGTTCAGTACAATGTGTTCACGCGGGGGCAAAAATGTATATGAAACAATGTTATAAATTCAACGAGTACAATGTATTTTATGGTAAAAGTAAAATGGTTTTGTGTGCGCAAAGAGAGAGAAAGAGAGAAAATGAAGAGAGAAAAAAATCACCATTTAAAAATAGAGATTTTATACTATATATTTTCCGTTGGTATGAGGATCATGCATGTAGATTTGCGCGAATGCAACGACCATTTGTCTGCATACAAATCACGGTGATTTTGTTTCTATTTGTTGTTGTTTCTGTAGCCTGGATGGTTTTTTTTTTAAATACATTGAGAAGGAATATAAATCAAAAATGTGTTCGAGCGCTCATTCTTGTGAGATATCATTTTGAAAATCGGGAATCGGTATGCAGTGTTATTGTACACTCATAAATCTTGTCGAAAATGTGATTGCATTAAATGTGGAGTGTGTGTTTTTTTTCGCTTCCTCTCTCTTTCTCTCTCTCTTTTATTCATTCAGTGCGGTCGGGAATAGAGAAAGGGAACGGTATGCGGCAGTCGTTTCAAAAAACGAGAATGAGGTACACGAAGAAAAAAACGAATCGACAACATACAAATACAAAAATGTAATAATAAAATTCAAAGTGAGACGAATATGTTGCCAAAGAAATGCATTGTATACGCATACGGAAAACCGAACACCAACGCTTGACTATACGATTTTCAATGCAGTCAAGGAGAAAATCAAGTTGAATCGGGGATAAAGCGAGTCAGCCCAAAACATTCAGCATATATAATAATAAAATTATGTGGTTCGTTTCATAGGTTTTCATTTTTGTTCAATGCTGCTGTTGCTGCCATCGTCGTCATTTATGCTCCGGCAAATGCACACAGTCGAATACAGATTGATGACGGTGAGCATTGGTAGTGAAGTTAGTGGTGGTGGTGATGGTGGTAAAAAGTCGTAACTTTCACAATTCCCTGCCGTCATATTTTACTTTGTGCGTAATCCAGTTAGTTTGATTTTCAACGTGTGTTCCCATTCGGGGTGGTTTTTTTTTTGGCTTTCGAGTTTTGTTGATTTCGTTGGTTTACTATGATTTGTGTATTTGATTTTTTTTCTCTTCACCGTAGATTTATACGACTTATTCGCTTGAATTACTTTTTATATGTCTTTCTACTCTCTATTAACGGCGTGTCCTGTATATTGAGAAATCATTTCCGCAACACAAATTTATGAGTTGAAAAAAAAACGACCGACCAAAGCAACTAACAAACTTACATTGGAGTGAACAACGTGTGTTCAAATGTGTGTCATAGAGGAAAAAAGAAGAAAAAAATTAGTCAAAATGTAACAAAAGCCATACGCTAATCAGGGGGTGACAAGCAAGAAATATGAACTTTTACGACATAAAATGCGATAATATTTTGCCCACATAACGTGTTGACAAATTAAGTCCATTCGATTTTTTTTTTCTCGTTCTTTCTCCGCTCGACATTATCCATTTAAAAAGAATATCACTCGTACCCAACATCAAAGCCACACTGATTTACGAAATGTACATTGAATATCGTTCGTTTTATGTTTGTTTAGTATATTTTTTGTATATAAATTTTTGTATGTTGTTGTTACTTTGTGCTTTTAGTTGTGATATGTTTGTGTGTGTGTGTCGAACCCGGATTTATTGAAGCGAACAAGGAATAAGGATAAATTCATGTATGTGAATGCACTTTCAGTCGGTGAACACTCCCGTGTTCAAATTGCAGTTTCAACGACAGTTAAACAGATCTAAGATCTGTAAATATCAATATATGGTGCATTGTATTATTAGCTTAAACATGATGGCGTAAGAGATAAAGTTAAGACCTCCGCATGTGACATGGTTTAATGCAATGCTTGGAAGGAAATACCGGCAACATCCGCAACACTGTACATACTCTTGTTCTTTGCCACTCGGTTGGTTGCTGTTTCTGTTGGAAGGAAAAAATACCAATGCAATTGACGATACAGAAAGTGTAATGAAAATATGCACTGCAATAAGAAGAAGCTTTTACCAGAGATTTAAGAGAAAGAGCGAACGAGATAAAAAGTGAGTAAAACCGAGTGAGTAGATCGACGTCTCTGCAACGTGTTTTTAGTATTAAACATGTTTGAGAGTATTAGGTTTTTGATAAATCCCGGTGTGACGCATGGATTTGAAACTAGCTCAGGAGACAGTTAAGAAAGCGACAAAAATGAGAAACATTGAAAAAAATAAACAATAACAAGAAGAAAAAAAAGATACATATCAAATGTGTATATACTGAGAATTTTCGATGCGCTTAAAATATGCTTAATATAAAGTAAAATCACCCATCCCCGCATACTCGCGTCAGCTAATTCACTCGATTGCTTAAGTCTCTATCTTTCTCACCCTTGTTTCCCTGCCCCTTATATCTATTTCTAGTTTTCTCCGTCTCTTTTTTTTTCGTTTCCGTTACCCGATGGTGTAATACAGAACGAGCATATTTCACCGACCTGGCGCTAAAACAAATGAACCAATATAAGGGTATGCATATGCATCAGCATTTTTGTAAAATTACGTGTATCTGTGTTGTGGTTTTACTAGTTATAGCTTCATATTGTTGTGATCTTCATTGCGAATAGCATCCATCGAAAAAAAACAAAGCTACTCTTTTCTTCAACTTATTTATCCGCCCGTGTGCGCGTCATGCCACATCGCGCAAAATTCGTTCAAATTTTTTACCCATCTTGGTTGAGGGCACGAAAATTTATAGTTTTCTTTGTGTGCGATTTGGTTTTTGCCATACATAAATACACATGCACGCAAACATACACACACAGAGAGAGTGCGCTCAAAAGAGATTTTGTCATCTTGTGGCATCTAATCGGTTCTTCTATGTGTCTGCATCGTTGAAACATTTTGTGCGAAAGCTTGAATGTATCTTTTTAAGATGCGATGCGACTTGAAAATTTGAAAATTTAATTAAAGAAAAAGTGTGCTGTACTTTCGAAATGGAAGCGAAGAAGAAGAAACAACATCAGCCACATAACCAACGTAAGCATCGAACCACTGAAAATATTGAGATGCATTTTCTCATTAGGGAATTTACTGTGTCTTTCGCAGTGACACAAACATACCGAATTACCATCACACATAAAATTATGCATAAGTCTCGAAACGCCCTCCGTTTTTTTTTTCCTTCTCCACTGCTCTATATGTATTTGCCTTTTCTTCTGTCTAATTTCATTTCAGTCTCGGCTCCTTTTTTTCGTCGCTCGAACGTAAATCTGGATGCATTCAAATGAGATTTGGGGGTAGAATGAACTCAATGTGTGTGTGTGTGTGTGTCTGCACAAAAAGTTGATTATCTTTCCATTATATTTGCAGCATTTTGATGCTTTTAGAAAAGACCTTGAGGGGTACATTTTTTATTCGCTTTTGATGCGATGACATTCATGTGCCAAACATTCATTCAACTTGAATAAAAAAGTAATAATCATTTTTTTTATTGAAGGGATGGAAAAACTTACCTTCGGGCTAATTCGAATCACAATTTCTATTGCGAACTGTCGTTATTTTATAACACACAATTGAACGTGAACAATCTGTTCCACTAGTCTTATTTATATCGAATATTTTAATTTCGATTCATTTATCTCTTTTTTGTGGTCTCTATTAAAGTTGCAATTTTTTAAACATCGTTTCTGATATACATACAACTCCACTTTCGATGGCAGCACCTGTGACGTTCGAAAAAGAATGAATAGAAACAAAGCGAAAATCAGTTTTTTTGCCTCAAACAAAATCAGTTTACTATCCTACAGTAGAGCTATGTTTATTATTTAAAAAAAAAACATGTAATATAATTTCATCGATTGCATATCTTTTATTGCTCCAGAAAAAACTCAAATCTTGTTATTAATATAAAGAGCGATATTATTATTAAAACGTTATTAATATGGATATATTCTGTTGATATAATGAAGTTGCTAAGATATCTCATTGGAAGAATCAAAAGAAGAAAAAAATAAACCGATGTATAATATCTTAATCAACGAGAGTTGTTTGATTCGAGTAGGTTTTATGGTGTGGCCATTTGGTAAAAGGTAGAGATGTGGAAAAAAAAGCAGTTTTCCTCTTTCAACAAATGAAGAAATTTCCGAAGCGAATTCAATTAAAATGGAAATAGAACTGGAGATAAAACGGTGGTAAACTGACAGATGAAAATAACGATAATATTAATGTACGCCCGAGCGTTGAATATATTGGAATGGCTAGTGCAGTTTTCGATGCTACTCATTTGCATTCGCAAAAGTTGTACTTTTGCCGCTGCTGCTGGCCGCTTTTTTCTACTGGTTTCATTTGATTCACTGGTATTCAGAGAGTATGATTTTATAGTCAAGCATATACATCGATTCGCAGTGTATGCCAGATTATAATCCATAAAATTATATGCAATAGAACACGATATCTTTCTTCTCTTCTTCTGTTGTGTGTGTATGTGTCTGTGAGTGTGTCGTAGTTTTTTTCCACTTGTGTCTTGGCTTGATTATCCTCTCTCTTTGCAAGTAGCCGTTTTGGTTTTCTGCAGCCAATGTGTGGTTATTTGCTTCTAACAACGACATTAGAATATTTTGCACGTTTATAGTTCATCGCATTTATCGGTTGGGGGCATGCAATGTGTGATTTGCTTGCTATACACACTCTTTCTCATTCTATCAAATTGCAGTGCGCTTTTTGTCCATTTTCCTGCTTTCGAAACCAATTAACCAGCAAACATACAAATACACACATACAAAACTTTTATATGCTAATGAAGCGCATGCAAAAAAAACAACAAACGCTCTGTGCATACTCCGACTTTCCAATGAACGCGCAAAAACCGTCTTTTATTCCTACCGATTTTTTTGTTGTTGTTGTGTTGTATTATTTAAACTTGTCGATGCAATGGCTCTGAAAATTGCATAAAAAACACTCATCGAAGCGCACCAAATAAAACGAGCACCACATTATAAAAAAATAAACATATATAGGTATATACATGGTTAAACATCTACTAAACGTTGTGTGCCGATTTTATTATCGATCATACCTTTTTGTAGTATTCGATAGCAGGGGGCTCGTTTTTTTTATCAATCATTTAATCTGTTTAGTGCAATTGAGATTGAGATGTTATTCGCATTTAATACATAGCAATTTTTTTTAACTCTGTAACCAGTGATGATAATAGGATTGAGCCAATAACCAGATAAAAGTGAAAAGCACAATAATTAGCCAAAATGGAATTATTCTATTCATTTTGACCGCGTTTATTTTTTTTTTTTAATATCAAATCTCTCTCGAACAAAAATGAAGAGAATGCCGCGTACACGTTCGTGACAAATAAACAGTTTTGCATGACACGATTTATTCTTCATTTTGTTTTTGTTCGGTGGTTGAATTTTAAATGAATTCAAAATATCAGACGCTGCAGTAATTAAGTAAATCGACCGAATTTTAAGAAAGTGAATCTTTAATCGTGCATTTTTTTGTTGTTGTTGTTTTTTTGATCAAGAAATTAAGAGAAAAAATGGTCGGCTGAAAGGAATTGTGTGCCAAATAATTTTACGCTCCCAATTTATATTTTCGATGATGACAGATTTCGTGATGGTGTTCCAAATACCACTCAATATATTACAACTTCAATGAAATACATAAAAAATGTATCCGAACCATATATAAAATCTTCGCGATTTTATATTCTCAATTTCGAAATTTATGTGCGTGCCAAGACCGGTGCACGGTGGAAAGAAAAGTGTGAGAGAGTGAGAGAGAATGAAGGAGAAAACAAGAGTTTGATAGAATGCTGTAATTATTGAAACTGTTTAATCACGCGATCAAATAAATTCAAATGACGACAAATGAATGCCAGTGGAAAAAAGTGACACGCTCACACGGTCAAAAATACTCAAGAGAAAATTATATGAGAGAGAAGTAAAAAAAAATAGCCAGAAATTTCCGCTGGCTATTTAATCTACTATTTGTTTACGATTTATTTGGTTTTAATGTCAGTTTTCTTTGTTTTCATTCAATACTTTAAACGGCAACACGAAAAAAATTAAGAGCAAAAAAATGCTAAAAAAAAGGACGAACAAAGAGAATCGAACATGCTGGCAATCAATTTCATTGTAAAAGAAAGAAAGAAATGTGCTCTTTTTATGCCATTACGAACGTATTTATTTCACAAAAATATAAGTAGCTAGTAAAATAAGGTATACCGTTTATTTATTGCGATTAGATATGGTAGCGTACCACAGAAATGCAAAGTAATCGCGCAAAATATCTTATAATCAGCCGTTGAAAAAGTGCTTCTATTGTTTATAACTTATGTATAAACAACGACCGATCGGCGGTCGCAAAATGTAAGCCATTAAAATGTTGATGATGTCATGTGAGATATATAGAGAGAGAAAGGAAGTGAGCGTAAAACAATTGGCTTTTTTTTTTAACAAAAAGCGAGCGTGAACAACAATTTATGAATAAATAATAATTCGATTATTGCCTGGAAAATGTGGCCGAAAATTGTTTCACAGCAACAAATTACAATATACATTGTACGCTGCAAAAGAGCCACCGAACGAACGATGATAGCATTTGGCGAAAACATTTTTTATGATAAATGATGACAGTGCCAATTACGTGAAAACATTGTCGAGTTCAGCTGGTTCTTCATTTGCAAAATTCGAATTGAAAATTGGTGCTCGAACAAATTTTAAATGGCACTAAATGAAAAACCACGATATACATTGAAATTGGATTTTGTCCAAAGATGCATTAATACCTTCAACATATTTCATTGAATGTACTTGACTTGAAAACACTTTTGGGTCGGTGAAGAGCGTTGCATGCTCACGTACAAGTGTATATATGCCGTTCGAACGGACGGTAAAGAATAATTTGACTTTTCGCGAGATTAATTGATGTTTCAATTAATGAGTTTCATTAAGTTGAAAATAGCTACATAAACGGTGTGGTGTAAAAATGAATTATCGAAAAAGATAAAACTAAAAATAAGAAAATTTACTCTTTAAATTAACAAGAGTTTTTGTTTGTTCGGTTTTTGCATACGCTTACAATTCTACGATGTAAATTTATCCAAATAAAAAATATTGGCAACGGTCAGTTTGGTGGCTAAAATGGCTTCAACTCTCAAGCCTCAAAGAACAATTACATTGAATGGAATGAAAACCACACATTTGCAAAATTAAACACTAAAAAAAAATACTACAAATTGCGATGGTTGATAAGAGAGCCACAAGAACATAAACTGTTGTTTTTTTTTCTTCTTTTGGTAACAACGATTGCAACGAGGAAACAGCGGGAATATTATGGTGAGTCTCGAACAAAAGGAATCGGAATAGAAAATCGATGAGGAAATACATAGACGAAATGGCTAAGAGTCCAGCCGACCGACACACACACACACCAACGCTATTCGGTCGAAACCTGAGAAAAAGACTGAAAACAACACCAATAACATTGCACATTGAAGAAAACTACGGAAACAATTATTGTACGTTATGGTTTTGTGCAGAGTTATTTGTTGCTTTGACTGCAACATTTTATGTTTAGGCAAATGGATTAATTTAAAACGTTTGGTCACGGAACGGATGCCCATCGTCATTCATACAAATATACTTGACTTGATAACGTTTCGTTTCTCTTTTCTTTGCGAAAGGTGCCGTTTTCTTTCTGTATAAAATGCAATTTCTTTTCTTTTTGCACATTTTCGAAACGAAAAATACCTCACTTGCCCATTATTGCACAAGTCACAAATAAAATATTGAACTTTGAACGATCTGCAATCGGTTCGGATCTCAAGAAGCTGCTTTACTCGAACATAAATTATCGAAACGGGCAGCAACGAGCTCAAAGTTCAAAACTTATTCACACACATACAATGCGAAAGTTTCCCAAATGAACAAATGGCGCGAGCGAAATAAAAAATGAACTTTTCAAAAGTTAACTAAACCCGGCAAGGGGAAGATAAAAGAAGAGGATTTTTACCTGGTTTAAAGCTATGGCTGGTGAAAATGTCCACTAAATATCCGAATATATTGTTTTTATCGTCGATTCTCTTTCCTAGTCCCGATTTTTTTTCTGCAGTTTAATACACTGAACACAGACACAGAATAATTTTCTTGATTGCCGTTAATGACTACTAGCTACTTTATTGATTTGGTTTGTTTTTTCTTGTCCTTTAAAAATTGATTTAAAAACTTTTTTCTTTAATCGACTACTTTGTTCGTTAGTTTTTCATCATAAAAGTTTAACTTCGAGTCGATTTTCGATTCTACTTTGAACTCTTTCTTTGCTTTTGATTTATTGTGGTTGTTCTTTTTTTTAACAACTCTTCACTCATATGTGCACATAACCAGTGTCAGTTATTTGTTCACGTTTATCAAAAATGCATTTGACTTGAGAATAGAATAAGAAAAAAAAGTGCAAAAACAAAAACGATTTTGTCAATCAATCAGTTTGTTCAAAATGAACATTTACATTGGAACATTTATGCGGAAAATATGTAAACATTGCTAAAATGTCATTCGCACTGTTTTATATCGGGATATTTATATGTATGCATCTATTCCCATTTTCGCACTGAATACAATTGCAATTATTTATGAATTATTGATAAATTCACCCGCAGCAACTGGCTTAACCGACACATTCAATAACAATCAACATTCAATTAAATACTGCACTACTGTTCTTCCTTTGGATTCCCTGAATCAAATTATTATCATTCGTTCTTTTGTTTTTGTTTGGTGTTGTTTTGTTTCTCTATCTCTCTCTTACACACTCTCAATATTTTGAATATTGTATTCAATTTTGCGGTTCTATATAAATGTGATGGTATTGGGTGCGAATGTGTTTATGATGATTTTACGGCAGTATGATTCGTGTTTGTTTTGAATTCACGGGTCAATGCAAGTATAATCAGTAAGCCGCGTACACTTTGGAATTGGTTATTTAAACATATAGATTGGGCTCAAAAAAATTTGCGTAAAAGAATGTCAGTCTTCATCAAAATCGCGGAGTTTACAAGACTTAAAAAAAAACTATTTGAACCACAAAAACATTCACAAATATCTATGCTTATTACTGATATCTCGTTTTAATTTATCAATCGCAATGTTTTGTTGAAACGTGTATGAAACCAATACCTTTAATTTCAATATATCTTAAGAACAAATTTGCTTAATGTGACGCTTGTATTGTGCGGTATTTGTACCTGATCGAATTTCATACTCACTTATTTCACTTTGTAAAACTGAATCTCAAGTGCAACAAATGCAAATCAAAGTAAATTTGTTTGTGACTATTCTTGCGGTTTGTGTTTTTTTTTTTTTCAATTCTCCCGCTGTTTTTTTTTTTAATTTTTTATTTTTAAACACGATATATTCATTCACTTGATTTTCACTCAAAATTCTTTTGCATTGCTGTTGCACATGTAAATTAAATTAGCGGTATCGTTTTCAATGCAAACATTATTTTCACTGTCAACATTCGTTTAGATTTGTTTCTTTTTTCTCTTTTCCTCGTAAACACTTTGCCAAATCGAGGGTCTCTTTCTCTATGAATAACTCGCAAAAATTATCACTTTCAAACAAAAATATGGTTTTGAAACGAAAATTTCGATTGACACTGATTAAATTCGGTGCAACTGTTTGGTGAAAAAAAAACAAGTTCAATTCTCTCTTTTTTGCTATTTTTATTAAATCCCAAAACACAATTTTTTTTTTGTTGTATACAATGCACATGGGCAAACAAAGATTTCACAGTCATGGAATTATACAATGGATAAATTGCCGTTTGATCGAAACACGACAGAATGCTCTTCTTACTTTGGAATCGTTTTCGTATTTCGTGATACGAAAATCGCGGCTCGCTACAATTTTGAACATCAACACAACCGTGACGTTATGACGATCAGAACGCACAATACCGACTAAACTATGTTCATCCAATTTGTTGGCACACTGCCTTCTCAGTCAGACACATCATTGCGTTCCGTACACTTTTCCCTGTAGATACAAAGCATATCATAACATTCTTTTCCATTGCCGATGCAAACATAAACATACTGTATAAGCTGAAGCGCAGCGCGCACACACGACCGTCTGTTCTTCAGCAATAGCATAGCGTAAGTGTGTGCATGGACTTGCTTCGCGTATTCATGCGACACTACGTCCGATACAAACGGAACATTGTGCTCGCAAAGGGTATACCAAATAAAACGGTTTGCTAGGGGAAATCTAGCTATGGTTTATGACATCGTATCGAAGGTGTTTGTTTGGAATTCTTTTACTTAGTTATTAGCAGGTGATATATTTATTTATAGAATAGATATTGACTTTTATTCGACATTCTTTAAAAATTGTTTGAAAAACAACGAAAATCCATTTCAAATTAGATTGAATCGTATCTTTGTTTTATCCATAAAAGAAGCAAACTCAATGCAGAAAAAATTTAACTCACATTTGCTTAATAAAAAGAAACTATACTTGATTGTTTGCACATAATTCTTTCCCCTAGCGTTAATCATATGTAGTTCATACTCATTTACATTGCTTGCTAAGCTCCACTTGAACGCGTGCACATCTAAATGACTGTATAAGAACGTCGCCGCGCAATGCATTCGATACAATGTTCTCTATGTGGAAAATGATAAAGAACAAGAAACTAAAGAAAGGCAACGATAAAAGAGCGAAGCGGAAAAGAAGCTGAAAACGTGAAACGCACTGGGTTATCACAGAACCAACAAAAATACCAATAATTCTCATTTCATAACACAGCGATAGGCGATAGCATTAACAATAATAATAGTAATAACAACAACACATTATAATGCCGTAACAACATTGGCGTTCGTGTGTGTGTGTCTACCTAAAGTATCACCGGCATGACAATAATATGCGCATAGAGTGCATACATATGTGCAATTGAAATTCACCGAATAAGACACAAAAATAAAGTTAACCGCAGTAAATAGATTTTTAAACTGTTTTCGCCACAGATAAGATTTGATGGGTATTTTTTTTCCTGCGTTCACAATTCACATCCCATTTGATGTTTTTCAATACTCATACGTTTCGAATTGGGACACCACATAGAATCACTAAAGAATAATCAAATATTTGCAGAAAAAATTAAATTTCGAAAAAAAACGACTATTTGAACATCAACACTCGTATTCAACCGGCGGCTATTATTAATTATGATTTCAATCAACATACAGTTTTTTTTTGTTTCAAAGTTGGATCTGATCGGTTTTTTGTTTCACAATTGTGATGCATTTAAATGCAATTTAATGATGTCTAATGGTTTTGGATCCAAAATGGAAATTCGATTTCGAATTTTAATCACATATCAAATTGAAATAACAACGGCTTAAAAAAATGTACACTCCAAAATTGAAACTATATTCTCGATTATTTGTCCCGTATTTATATAGTTATGTGAGTGTACCTGTTTCCGTCAATTCAAATTTGTTTTAATATTCGGTTACATACTCTCTTTCGCTCTCTCTCTTCCTCTGCCTAAAATCCATAAAAAATACAGAGTACATTAAAACAATCAACAAACTGATTCATTTATTCATGACCATTAAAATGATTTGTATAGAGCAGTTGTCATTATCGCTTTCTTTTTTATGTGTATGTCAAACTTTTGAACATCATTTTTTGAAATGTGCAATGTTTTCCTTTGGATTAAAAAATTCAATGTTTGATCCAATTAGTTGAAATTTGAGATAATAGTTGGTTGGTTGTTCAAAATAGAATTGTAGCAATTGAAATCATGAACTAAATAATTTGACAATAAATCAGTATTGGTGGTTTGGTTTCTTGAATCAATCATCGTCTGCTATCCGGTGATAGCATGCATTTTAATAACCTGAAATGCAATCATTCGTCAACAAATGCATTTTAATTTGTGTATTTTAACACATGAATCACGTAAATATCAATATATGAAGATAAGCATTATGTTTATGTTTTTAAAAGTATAAATATTTGATGATGCATATAAATAATCAATTCGTAGAATTCATGCACACTAATATACGCCCATTATTATCATTATTTGAAAATAATGTTGTGTCAGTATCAGAAATAAAATCTTGCAGATAATTATTATCAACATAATTTTTCGACAAAAATAAGCACACAGTTGAATACAATTGAAATGAAAACACCATTATATTGAAATGGCAAATTAGACTTTTTTTAATGTCAATCTTTGTATGCATTTCGAGTGGTGTACCTCTTATCTTTGGTAAACCACTCGAAATGCATAATGCTTTTTAAGCATTAAAAAAGTCTAATTTACTATCTCAATATAATAGTGTTTTCATTTCAATTGTATTCAATTAAATAGAGTCAGCGTAGTCTCTGGGCTTAATATAAACTACATTGAAAAGACATTCGAAATTTCATCCAACGATGATTAGAAATAAATTTGCAATTTTTGTTTCGTAAAATCTTGTTTCAAATCGTAAAATCAATGAATAGCTATGCGATAATGAAAGTGCATGAAATTTAAATACATTGATTTACAAAGGTGTCACACATCATTTAAAATCGAAATTGATTTACAAGTTTTTCAATTTATTTATTACTTTTCAATTATTTGTTGAGCATTTGAAAACTATATTTTTTTCTATTAAATGCAAACACCGCCTGATGCCAGTTTAACGTTTGTAAGATACATGATTATAATTGAAACATAAATTTAGTTGGTGCTTAATTTTCCTCGCAAAACTTATATTAGTAAATAGTTTTTAATTGTTGATTAAGTTTCTGACAATATATTGAACTAACTTAACTGATCAATTAAGCTGACAGTACGTTAGCCAGCTAAATGGACTAAAACAATAGAAGATATTGTTATAATGGACAATCACTTCTATTAAAACAAGAAAAGTGATTCATCATTAAAACAATAATGTCTATTGTTTTAGCCCATTTGGCTGGCTAACGTACTGTCAGCTCAACTGACCAGTTAGTTCAATATATTGTCTGTTAAGTTTCGATGATAAACAGAAGTAACATATGAATGGGTTCAAAACAATAATATTTTTTTGAAAAACTTTTAAATTGTAGTGTGGAAATGAAAAATAAATGTTTTTTTAATCAAACTTGATTGATTTTTTCAAAACTACGAAAAGAGTCCACAGTATATTATACTGGGTTTCCAAAAAATCATTCTTTGCATTCGATTATTTATATGGCTTAATTGCCCAAATTTCAACTGTATTTGTGCTTTATTTTCATTGAATAATTGAAAATTAACGCCTCTTTGCTTATCTCAACAGAAAAATATGAAAAAACCTCAAAATTACTCGAAATCAGCTAAAAATTTCAATAATCAAAAATAATGTTTCCAATGAAAGAATGAATAATAACAATACCCAATATAATTGTTTTAAATAAAAAATATGTCAAAAAATCAAATACGTAAACTAATGGAAAACATTAAATTTTAGCTGTCTGCATCATATTTATTGAAAAACATAAACATATTATTAACTTCTAATTTCTACTTATCAAGAAATAAAAAAAAATCTACAGATTAACCGAAAATATCATCAACGTTCGAAAAAATTCAAAATAAAATAAAAAACGTTCAGTTTGGTGTAGAGGTGCCCACTGAACCGAACTGAACAGTTTATGTTCGAGAAATATTATATTTTCATGTTCGTGTTCGTTCGGGTTCGGTTCAAGTTGATCGCAAAAAAAAATATTGCAATCATATTCGTTCACGTTCGGTTTACGTTCGGTTCACGTTCATTTTAACTGTTCAAAACTGTAAACTTCAAAAGATGGTTGTTGGCCCTTGGGAAAATTTAAAAAAATTCAAAGCCTTAAAACCTCATTAGATTTTTTTTCCCAAAATATCAATAAAAGTGGCAACCAAATGCAAACTTTAAACACTTTCAACATATTTCAAAATATCATAAAAATTTGATACGAAAAATGAGACACATTGAATTCAGAAACCTTTAAATTCACTCAAATTATAAAACTATTAACGACTATTTAATTTTAAATTTTAATTGAACAAATTTTCATCAATATGGTGCCATCGAAGGAGAATTTTTTTATGAAAATGTGTAGTTGAATTGCTTTCCATAGTTTTGTGATTTGAGTTAATTTAAATAGTGAAAATAGAAATAACAAAACCGTTTGAATCGCTATAATATCAAAACTTTAAACAGATTCATTTTTAAGAATAAATTGTGGTATAATTAAGTACATTTTTACTGTGTTAATAATTTTGTTGTATTCATTCTCATATTTTAAAATATATCCATTTTTAAAACTATGCAATTTATATTCATTTTGAATTTTCGAGAAAAAAAAATTGAAATCGATTTTGCATGAAAAATCAAAATGAATAAATATTGCATAATTTTATGATTGGATATATTTTAAGATATGACAATGAATTCAACAAAACCCTTTACACAGCAAAAATGAATCCGTTTAAGATTTTCATAAAATAAATTGCACATCGATATATGAGAAATTTTGAAATCAAAATTATACCGATGAATTTTTTTTTGCTTTTTTTTATCAAAAATATTACGATTAAAACGGTTTTAATATAGTTATTTTCGCTATTTAAATTCACTCAAATCATAAAGCTACGGAAAGCAACTCGACTTCACATTTTCATAGAAAATTCCCGTTCGTGAGGCAACGTGTTGAAGAACATTTTGTCGATTAAAATTTAAAATTGAAAAGTTATTGGTTTTAAAATTTTAGTGAAGTTAAATGGCACTATTTATAAACACAAAAAAACTATTAAAATATTTAAATTACAAAAAATAAAAGTTTTCATCTGTAAGTTTCTAACAATCAAAAAGAATACATTTGAATATTTTCAGCAGTTATTAATTCCTTCAATTGAATTCTTTAGAATAAAACCATATTAAATAGTTGCATATCAAAGCGAAGGAAGATGTTTTTAAATACAGATTAATTGCTGTAATTCATACAAAATAAAACATCAAATATATGTAGGAAAATACGGTTTGTTTCGCTTTGATAAGTAACTATTTATATTTTGTTTTTATTCTCGAGAATTCAACTGAACAGTTCTCGTTTGTTCAGGTTCGTTCGAAATAAAAAAAATCTGTTCATGTTCATTCGCGTTTAGTTCAAATTGTTCAAAATATGTAAACATGCCGTTCATATTCGGTTCATATTCAGTTCAAATTCGAATGAACCGAACGAACATGAACGGTTCAGTTCAGTGGGCACCTCTAGTTTGGTGCTACCATCGTGAAACTTGGTAAACTGCCAAATTGTGCGAGAGTATTTGTAAGTATAATTTGTATCGCCGTCGTTGTGAGGCGCCACTAAAAACCTTTTGAAGACATAGTTTCAAATTAAATTTTATTCATCTGTTAATTTGCCTGCTACAGTCGAAACTTTCGACTCGAAAGAGAGGATTTTATCAAAAATGCGGAAGATTCTTTCTATAAAACAGGTCCTAATATGACAGATATTATTAATGAAGTCAAACATCAAGAAACAAAATAAAACTCAAATTAATATCATGATTGAATTTGGAATATTATTATTTATTCGATTTTTGAGTCTATTTTGATGTCGGTTTAGTTACAATTTACAATTGCCATAATTATAATTATTTCAAATGAGTTATGCTTGGTAAAGACTGGTCTTGGACCATAACTAAAAAACCAAGACCCTTTTAGAGAGTGGATGAGAATCACATAAGTATTAACAAAAATTTAAAACATCACAGCTAGATTATATACAAAATTCTTCAAAAATTGAGCTTGGAAAACGGATGACTTTGTTTTTAAAAGTTTCTCTATCCAGAGTTACATCAACATGGAGAGTAGTCCGATTATACAACCGGCAAGCCATTCAAAACGGTGAGTTATCAGTACAAAGTATCGAGTATGCAGCGATCCAATTTGCTAAAATCTAGACTTCTCGTAAAATAGTTCATTTTGAAAAACGATATTTGGTTTCGTAGTCGGGGAGAGTTAATTTTTCCAGATATGACATCATGACTATTCTTTCGATTTTTCCAGATATGAACTAATTTTGAAATCTCGATAAATTATAGATATAAAAATGACAAATAAAACTTCCACATTTATTAATATTATCATATTAATTATTATTATTCATTGGACAAATGTTATAGAAATCGTATACTGCAAACACCGTCGTTACAGAATGACAAAGGGTGACATTCACTATCTGATTCACATCCCTCAGCACTAACATTTGTTAGATACATCACGATTAGAACACAAATTGCAATTAGTAGGTTCTTCATTTTTCTCTTTTTCTTTTCAATCAGATCTTCACCACAAAACTGAAATTAAAAAAAATTGTTGATTATAATCGATGGTTTCGATGTCAAGTATAATTTAAAAAGAAAAGCAATTTTACTTTTTAACTCATCATTTAAAAAAAATAAAGTAGTCAATTTAAATCATCTTAAAATAAAAAATAAAGATTTTGTGCAAAAAATCGACTTTTGTATGCTCACCCGTCAAATGTCTAGATAGCTCTGTAGTTTCGGAGCTAATGGTGAGCCGTATTATAATAGTATAAATTCGGCAAAAGTCAATATTGCAATTTGCATACAAATTATTACTCGAATTTCTGGTTGTGTATAACAAACAAGAAAAAATTAAAAAATAATTCAAACTGAGAAGGGTAAAGTTTGTTATTTATCTGATTATCAAAGTTGTTATTAAAACTTGAATTTAAATAGTAACCCACAACAGCATAGTTTTTCAGCATTTGATACAAAATAGACCGGTTTGAAATGGTGGTTCTATTTTTTTTTCTTCACAAAAATTCACGCGATTATATCTATTGAAAATATCGAGAGGAGAGTATCTTTTTATTCAGAACTATAAGCGCTGAATAACATACACTCTTTATTCAATAGATATGAGAATTCTTCAAAGTTTTGCAACTTTGAACAATTATGAATCTCTGCCGCTAAAATCTTACTAGATAATTGTTCATGAAAGTATTGTCGTTGTAAATATTTGATGTATTCCAAGAAGAAACCTATATTTTGAATTCAATCCAGCGTAGTTTTGCTTCAAAGAAAGAATAGTAATTTTTTCATTAAAAAATGTGATGTATCTTTTATTTTCACAGGTAAAAGTCTATGATTATTTTCGCTTTTTAAGCTATGTTTTATTAGATTTTTTTTTCATAAATTAATAAAGGTCAGTAATTGAAAAACAAAATTTCTCTTTGGACTCTGTTAATGTCCAGTTTTGAATGTGAGCGAAGATATAATTCCAAGATCATTGGAAAATATGAATTCAGTGCCGGGAATATTTGGTTTGTTATTTGGAACAATAACTAAATTTGTGAATTGGTTGTCGATAGTAAGTCGTTGGCCATCAAAAGTAGGTTCGGTTTCGAATACAATGTCGATTATATATGTACACAAGGGATAAATATGAATAGATTTATTCAATGTTACGTATGCATCATACGATGAAAATCGGTAGTCTTGTTTTTGAATTGAAAAATGTAGTGTGACTTGTTGACTATGTACTTCAATGCCGGTATCGTTTTTTATGTGAATAATCTTTATAATGGCTGGTAATAATCGGGGTTCAACATTAGCATTACAATTACAATTAAAACCATTTAAATAAATAAAATTATTGACACTGAATGTAGTTCTTTCGGTTTTACAAATTTGGCGACCATCATTTGTGTTACATCCCCATCCATGAAATCTTTTGACGAATCCTTTGAATTTCTCTACATAATTATCCACATACTTGATTCGATTGCATTCAAATTGCTGTGCACGTTGAATTTGCAATTTTTCATCGGTTTCCAGAAGAGAATCGTCCCATGTTTTCCTCGTTGTCCAATTAAATTTTTTTGGATTGAATTGTGTGTGCCGACCACACATACAGATGATTTCATGAAGTTCAATTGCAGTAAATAAATTTGGGTAAGAATTAATACAAGCAGCCAACTCTTGTCTTGTCATCGAAGTGAAGCGAATCTGATAAATACAATCCCTGAGTTGAGCTCGTAAATGTGTCATATTCATTGGATCTTGACCACTTCTCTTGCATGCCTCCTGTGACCACACAATGCATGCATTAAATATGTCTACCTCAGAACAAGCCAATATGTCGCAGTGCAAAATATTCAACAGAAATTCATACCGAAATTTCAGGAAACTTTCATTTTTCAATACAGTTTCGGCTAACCTGGCAATTTGTATTTCACACACTTTTTTCAGACGATTTGCATTATAGAGTAGCGCCAGCTCATAAGCAAAACACATTGTGTCGTTTGCAATATTTTTTATTAGAAATTCTTCACATTCAGCGAAAAATTCGTCGATCAATGACTGTTTGGCCAAATCCATTACTTCTTCTATGTTTTCGAATGTTAAATTAACGGTTTTAACATAAATGAAACGCAAGAATTCTTTAAATGCATCGACAGAAACACCGGAATCGGTCATATCGATTTCATCACCTGAAGGAATTGTGCCGTTGAAGAGTGAATTCAGCCAAGGGGTCATTTTTGTGAGAATTACATTGTGCGCGGGAACACTCTCATCTCGAAATTTGAACCAGATATTGGCCTCTTGTGGATTCAGGTACAACCGTTGGAATCTCTGAACTACCATATTGAGTGCCATACTGATGAATCATCAATGATGTGATAAGCTACGGAATTTGAAGAGTATTGAACAAAAAAATGTGAATAAATCGAAAATTTCATGTATTGTGAAACATTTATGGCAGACTTCTTTTCCTGAAAAATTTCCACCTGCAAAGTGACAGCAATAAAATAGATAATTTTACCTGAATTGGAGATAGTGGGAATAAAATAAATCCAAAAAATGATTAATTTTTTGTTTAATAACAAAATAAATTGAATGTTGATTAAGAGTTGAAAATACAATCTAATCGCTACATGATCAAGATTATAGCCCACTCATTGGCAAATGTCAAGTGAATGGTTGACACCTGACAGATCTATCTTCGACTCAAATGATCGCAGGGCTGCTCAAAATTACCGCCAACATTCAAAGTGTACACTCTTTTTTTCTTGATTTTACTGGCCAACCACTGGAAAAGAAGTACGATGCTCTTTTTATGTTCAAAATGTAAGAAAATGTGTTTGTAAACGTTTCAGATAAAAAAAAAGTTTATTCTGAAAAAGAAATTGATTTTCTTTATTTTGAATGCCTTATGTCTCAAGATAACAATGGTTAATTTAAATCCTTAATTTAAATTTCTTTTTCGACAAAGAAATAAAAGTGATTGCTCGCGTGAAATACTACCTCAACTAAAACTAATTAACTTGCTTCATGCATCACGCATGTTTTAATTTTCAAGATCAGCGATCAGGCTATCAATTGAATTAACTTTGGAATCATATTTGGTTGAAACCTTTTCATAATTTTCATCGCCATTATCTGATTGCACAATATTCATTTTTCTTATGGTGATATTTTTCATATATTTTCGCTTGATGAGAATGCCACTCTTCTGTGACGTTATTTGACCATTTGTTGTCATTTTCGATGTGCCATTTAGGATTTTAATTTCTTTTGCCGCTGTCGATATGCCATTTGTATGTGATGGATTATGACAGTTACCATTCTGGAATTTTGAAATATTTGCTTTTGGACCGGTCATCAAACGTGGTTTCGAATCAATCGAAGACAATCGTCCCGATGAATTAAAGCATCGAATATTCGGACTTTTGTAGCCCACTTTTTTGAATTTGCTGGACGGCAAACGTTTTAATGTTTTAAATTGATTCAATGTATGTTTGTTAAGTATTATGAATTTGCCATTTGAATGCATCGTTGGTGATTTTGATGGTGACTCCGCTGATTTATCGATAATCTCAACATTTACATTTTGTTCGTTGGTATATTGTTCTTCTGCCGTCGGTAGGTCATCTGAAAGTACAAACAAAATCGATTATATTAAAATTAAAAATCAAATAATCAATTAAATCATCGCGCTCACCAACAATCGCTCGTTTTATAATTTTATCCGAAATGATTTCAATGGATTTTGCTGCTTTCGGCACTTCTTCTTCTGGCATTTCATTATCTATCGGATTTGTATCAATAAAATTTCCATGATTGTCGGCGAATAAAATGGGAATATCAAAAAAGTTGATTGTTTCCTCTTCAGCCTCATTTGTCATTGGATTTTGTTCGCTGGCTTTGCTGTTCGCCACAATGTGATTATTGTGATTTGGACTATTCAAACCATTTGAATTGTTGTGCACCATCACTGTACCACCATCTGATGCAATTATACCATCTGATGTTCCAATATTTTTCACACCAAGCGTATACGATTGATGGCCACTCTGTTGTTTAACATAAATCTTTTGTGTATTGATGGGCGGTGGTTTAATATGCAAAAATTGATTCGGTGGTATATATTTTACTTTTTGTTTTATTGGTGACACATTTGGTGTGCCCAATCCTGATATCGTGCCGTTTGACTTTACGTTGTCATCTTCACAATGTTGTACATTCTGATGAGGTAACATACTTTTAACGGCCATTTGCAGTAATGGATCTTTGTTTTTCGATTGAATTCCATTTAAAATGTGTGGACGCTTCTTTTTCGACTTTAATGGTCGATAGTCTTTGAACTTTTGCTTTCCATTAAATCGTTCCCGACGTGAAGTTTCTCTCATTTCGGCACGATGGTTTTTCATTTCTTGCAATCCGTACAACGGTCTCGGTTTTCGTGGTCCGGGTGGATTTAGTATGCAATTTGTTGCAAATTCTTGAATTTCTTCCTATTTTTTTAATAGAAATAGAATATGTTTCGATTATGTTTAATTCGTTTTGAATGAAAAATAGAGAATTTGTTATCGTACCATAATCATACTGTCGATCATCGATTGTGAAACTCCAGAAAATGAGCGATTTAAACGCTTAACGCGCAACGAATCATCCGATGAACCAACGATCACAAGCAATGTGTGAGCCGTTATTCTCACACGAATTGCTTCGATTTCCTCTTGACTGAATATATGACAATATTTAGACACATTAAAGAAATTCAAATTAAAAACACTCGAAAAAGATGAATGAGAAAACAAAGTGTGTTAGAGGTCAATAGCATAAATGTACATGTTAATTACCTAGATTTTTGTGCATTTTCTCCGATCACAAACAGAATTGGTGTGGTTAGTTCGAGAATTCGATCATCTGATTTTCCTCGTTGTCCATGCAATGTATTATACGCGAAACCCAAACAAACAATTGAATTAACCGGTTCAACAATAGCAACTTGCACTGCAATAGCAGCGCCGGCTGCAAATCCAGCCAAAATAATATGCCGATTCGGTCGTTGATTACGAACCATTTGGATTTTGGCGCGTGTCATTGCAACTAAAGTTTCTGTTATTTGTTTGATGGGTTTTTCTAAATCGCTGCCCTAAATCAATGAAAATTAGAAACGAAATATTTGTAAAAAAAATTCGTCATCACTAATTATTTAAAATAAATCTTTTTTTTTACCTTCAAATTAACGGTAACTGTTTCAACATCGGCAAAACTGTTCAACAGTTCAGCCCAACGTCGATCACGGGATGATGTGTTTGTTGAGCAAACAGTCGATAAAATAATAATAACTGGATTATTTGGTAACGTTCGTTTCTTGATAACGTTCGTTGGTTCCCATGGTGTTTTCATAATTGCATTCATATATTCTTTATGCATTTCGATTGGTTTATGAAAAAGCATTTTATCGACCAATGTCGGTATTTTACGATTCAATGTTTGTATTATATCGATATAAGACACCATATATTTTGGTGGTAATGATGACATAAGTAAACCATGAATCCATGATGTTAACTGTGTATCCCAGTGTACGGATGCCAATGCGCTTCGCATTCGTGATACGGATTTTTCAATAATTGCATTTCGACGAAGACACTCATTTGGCAAACCAGATACCGCCAATCTTCCCAATTGGTCCATATCCAATATGCGTTCAACACGTTCAAATAGATTTATTTGTTGTTCTGCAATGAAAATCGATGTTCAACTTGCAATTTAAAATTTTAGGCAAAATGTGAGAATACCTGTCCAATTGTACTTTTGAATGTTTTCGCTCCAGTCGTCGGTATCTGAATTACGATTATGACAATTTTTGATCATTTCCTCGGTTGCATTGAGTGTTTTACGTCCAGCCTCTTCGTTGTATGGTGGGATTGGTATATTGAATGTTTCGGGTGTATCGACTTTTTCATCATGATTCGGAGGCAACTGATGACAAGATGGACAAAGTGGTGGACGTTCCACCAAAATTGTACGAGGTGCCGTAATTGCATATCGCTCATTGTCATCGTCATTGGTGCTTGGCTTATAATCTCTCGTATAACTGTGCTCCATTTTGATTGTGTCTTCCAATTTCTCCTAACAAAAATTTAAAAAAAGTTCATCAAATACATTGACATTTTAAATCAATATACAAATGAGTCGTAACATTATATATTCAATGAATTCCATATACACAATCAATCGATGGTTGAGGTTATGTTAAAGTTATTGAAAATTGCTTGAGTCTACAAAAAAATGCTCATCATTCCGATCGAAATTTGAGCTGCCCAACATTTGAAACGATAAATATACTTGGAATCCTTAAAAGCGTCTTGGTCACCAAAGAAACAATTGAAAAGCATCTTTCGAACAATATACACAATCAAATAGATCACATCGAAATTTGTTGATCATTTTCATTGTATTTATGAAATACAAATTAATTTTCACGTACCTTGATATGTGTGAATCGAAGTTAAATCACCGATGATGATTTTTTTTGAAAAAATATGATTGCATCACAAAAAAAAACGAAGCGACGTTCACAAAATCTCGAATGTGAAATGATTTTTTTTTATGAATACTCGTAGACCACCAACGTAATAACAGTTAGAAATAAAAAACATTGAATACACCGATGCAGTAGGTAGAATTGAAGTTTCGGAATGGAACTTTTTCTCTGTTCGTACGGTTGTGTATGTGTGTGAATTCTTGCAAATTCAAACGAAATAACACTTTTTTTGGCAACATCAAAATATTGTGCGAACTACACACAAACAAAATCACAATGAGACGGTTGCTTTGTTTTCACTTCATCAACACAAAACATATTATGTCAAAATGATTCAAACGAAGCAAATAAAACGGATGTATGAATGCGTATTTATTTTGAAATATTTTGTTATATTCAGCAAGTGGTATCGCATACACAAGCTTAACTGTCCGTTGTTGTTGTCTGCTCTCTTTCTCTTTCTTCTTCTTCAATATTTTACAGCTGTGTATCGTATTGGAATGCTTCTTTAGATTCTATTCTTTCACGTATTGTTTTCGAAATGGAATTGTCGCTCTCTGTTGACGATCTCGAAACGTCTTGAAATTCGTTCAAACGGCTATACAAATCACCGTTTTACAGCTGTACGTGTCTTTGTATTGGTGTTGTCGATGAGCGAGTCGTTGACGAGCGTGAGAGATGTATACAAAGTGTGAATATACCGTAGATCGCACATGTTATTTTAAATATTGTGTATGTATATGTGAGAGACAAAACAAACACTCTCCGTCTTTGGCTCTCTTTAGCTCCGTCGAACACATGCTTTACAAACGAATATCACGTGTATGCGCTACGCAGCGCAATATAGTGGAGAATACGCGTTTGAAGAAAAGAAAAAAAAAAAATAAAAACAGAAAATTGAGCACAATATGGACACTGTTGTGTGCGAAGGCACGACAAACGCAAGTAATGGGAAAAAAGAAGAAAAAGAAGAAGGCGGTGACGGCAAAATGAACAAGAGAGTAAACGGTGAGGAAAATTCTATTGGTGCTGTTCTCATGTAATTTCGGCGAATGTTATGAAATTATCACATATGCCTTTTCACGATTTAGGTGCATCGGTATTGCGTCCGGTATACATGGTTGCATGGTTACCCCCCATATATTGTAACCGGTGCATCGTATTCAATTGAAAAACTAATGCCGCAATACCAATGAAATATGACAGGATCAAATCTAATAACACTTACCGGCTAAATATATGCAAAAATTTGTAAATCTTACCTTGTAAAATGAACAATCGGGAAAATAATTATGCTGCTTTAGCAACCATTTATAATATTCATGGTTGATGTTTCGGTTTATATTATTTTGATTGATATCCATTTTCATGTTAATCGTGTCAGATTTAATATCATCCGTTGGATATACAGTCAAATTCATTGGCATATTCACCATTTTCGTCTATTTTTCGTCACAAACTTGGATTTTAAATAATAAAAACAAACTCCGCGTTTTAATCAAATACAAACAATGTTCAACGACCAAAAAGTCAGACTCAAATAGTCCTTTGAATATCTGTTTTTTTTTGTCGTTCGTTTATGGTCAATGTTGCACTTTCACAATCACATTCTCAATTAATATATTTATTAAAACATTTCACTGTTCATCTTGTTCATCATGAACAAAAATTGTTTTTGAATCCATCAAAACACGATTTCGAAACGTTAACAACAATCGAATTAATATCGAATTGCGCAACGAATAATATGAATTACGTTATTCGATGTAACAAATATTTCAATGGATATACTTTTCTCTGTGAATTTGGAAACAAAAAACTGTGCTTAGGAAATTTTTCCGATTTGAATTTTGTCACATTTAAATTTGTCCGAAGTAATCGAGTTTCGCATTATGTTTGTGATTGTTTGAGACACACTCTCTTGTGCGTTGTACGAAGACTACACGTGAATGATGGTGATAAAACAAATGTATGCGAGACTTCGTACCAGTATTACAGATGTGAGAACTGCTATATAGTCTCTCGCACTCATATATGGCTGCTTGTGTCGTCTATATTCTATGCTTCTCCCAACTCGTTGCTCTATCGTATCTGTGTTTACTCTCCATATGCGTGTACCGCGCGCGATACCACCGCATTCAAAATTTATTGCGTAAATGTCATGAAACTGAAAGCGAAAGAGAGAATAACTGTGACATGTGTATGGCAAATGAGTAAGTGAGTGAATTTTTTGAATATATCTGTTTACATTACATATATATATATTTTTTTGTGTGTTAGAATAGATGAAAACATCGGAAGAAAAACCCGTTTGATTCAAAATTTTATCAATAAAACCAATTAAGATTTTGGTTTGTTGATAACTTTTATTCTTGGTTTTATAAATAGAATAGTATTTTACAATTTTGTTTGTGTAAGCAAACATAAAAAGAGAAATAAACATGCTCAATGAATTTATTTGAGTCAATTACATTGTACAAATTCAGTCGATCGACATGATAATATAAATGCATTATTATCATAAACATCACTTTTTTTATGCATAGCTGAGAGCGTCACGGTCAAAATTCAACATCATTATGCCTAAATCACCACTGAAACGATTCTTAGCTATTTGTAAATACTTTTTCCCTTTCACCGAAACCAACCGCTTATCTTGAATGATGAGCACATTATCCGCTTCCTGAGTTGCCTTTGCACTACCGAAAATTGAATTCATTGTTAGATCTTCGTCATTGCGTTCCTGAAAAGTGAAGATAACAATATTTTTTTTTTAAATACAAAAATTGCTTCAAGAACATGTTCAAGAAAGTACATAGAGTTAACCGATTGTTTGAATTATCCTTAAGGACCTTAACCACTGACCTTCCGTGGATGAATCACAAGTGTCACATGGCAATTTCGTTTTGTGGCAAATGTTCGAAAGGCTGCTATAATTTCGTCTTGTCTCCAATATTTGTCCAATGAGCGTGGATCGCTGGTGCCCATCATAAATTGTAAATTGTCAATGATTACGTGATGTATATCGTGTACATATTGTGAATGTTCAATGGCCTTTTTTGTAAAAAAAGAATGGGATGAATACAAAATCAATCAAAATTTGTAAATTATTCACTAAAATAATTACCTCCATAACAATTTTGAGCGTTTGTTGTCCATAAAATGTCATAAAATACATTGGAAGTTGTTCGAATTGATTGGCCCATGTGTCAAATTCTTCAATATTTTCATCAAGTGGTTTTCGTGCCATTTGTTGTAGCAATGTTCGCGCCAACAGTGTATTTCGAATTTCAAACGATCCCCATAATGTGTTCACACCTTGCATTGATAAATCCAAAGAGTATTCGGCCATAAATGTCGTTTTTCCACAGCCAGTTGGCCCAGTTAAGATGGTTAATTCACCGCGTCGATGACCTTTGAGGTATTTATTTAATGTTGGATATCGATTCCATTTGATTCCCTGCACTTTATCTATATTCTGTATATCACTAAGCACATCTTGACGAAGTGCTCGAAATGTGGTGACGGCTTTATGTACGATTGGTTGTGCAGCCGTTAAAATGGTTTTAGTTGGAATCGATTGTTGAATGGCTACGTATGGCGTTGGAGTATTTTCAGTCGGACGTATGAAATGGCAACGTTTTTCATCAAGTTTTTTGGCAAACATTTTTGCCATGTCCCATCCAACGGAATTATAGTCAAACCAAAGAATCAACTTTGCATACGATTCAAATAATGGTAAACATTCTTGCGGCAGTGTTTTAAATCCATATGGAAGACAAATGATCGTCACTGAAAAACGATGAATGAAATCAATGAATTTAAATTTGAAATTAGAATTTATGTGGCTTACCATTGGTCTTTTCCATTCTTAAGGCCAGTGCATCCATCATATTCACAACAAGGATGGCAGTTCTTTGATCTCTAAATCCACGTTTGATAATTGGCGGAAATATAACAGCTCCAAAACTATTCTTTTCGGGTATTGTTGTTTCAGTCAACTTTGATTCGAGTAGGCGCGAGAGTTTTTTGTATCCAATAATATTTGAATGAACGTCCAGCATTGGAAAGTACAATGTTTTTCGTTTTGCATGGCAAAATGCTTGTACATTTTGAAGGACACTTAATTCAATATCATGCAGACCTAAATGTTCAATAATCTCCTGTATTTCATCGTTTCCAATCTCAGTTATTGGTATTGCATCTTTTGGAATTTGATACGACTTTTGAATAGATATCTTTGGTTTTGATCGCAAAAATAAATCACGAGCACGTTCCATATCGATGGTTGAACGATACGATTTGGAAAAAAACTTTTCAACAGCACTAAAACTAAAGATGTGTTGGCACTTTGAACATACTACATCACCTGAAATTAAAAATAATATGATGTAAACAATAAAGGGGTGAACAATCGAAAATAATGACAACAATAACAGTCGAAGCAAATTTGTTGTAAACGAAAACGTTTCACCAAAAACGGCAGTTCCTTATTGTTTATCTTTTGTTCAATGTCCTTCACAGATGCTCTCGAATGGTTTCCTGTGATGAATTACCTGTTGTTTTATTGATGTACAGGCATTTGTTATCGATGACTTTTTTATCTGGAATATTTGTGGTTTTTTGCTCGTTATCTGGCTGGCATGTTGGGCATGATGTTTGAATGCAAGTAAATCCATCGACATAATCATAAAATCCCGATTTAATTGTTTGCCTAACTTTCAGTGTAGATGGTATAACAATGCCACCATCTTGACTACCGAAAAATCGTTCCTCATTACATTTTATATCACTGCAATTTCGCACAATTTTTAATCTAGTTCGAAATTTATTTTCTTCGAATAGTTTTCTAGGCCATTGTACACTCGATCCACCATTGTGTCGCAATAAATTCAGTCTTATAAACATAATAACAACGAATTAATATAATTTCTTTTTGATCGGAAAATCCTTTGTGTCCATCTATACAATGTGATTGGACGAATTTAGCTGATGCACGCAAATAATATGCACGCTAAAATTCTCAACCGAAATCAAAACAACAACTCTGTATTCAAAAAATGTAATGGAAAACATAACCAACAAAAAATCGTATGTCATTCCGTTTGGTTTATGCGCCAAAATCAGATGGTGTGGACAATGTCACTGTTTGTTTTACCGACACACGAACAAATGAAAATGAAAACTCTTTAAAACAGACAAAAGTGGATTCGAGCAAAATTGTTTTACGAAAATCAAGTGCATTATCTCGTCGATGACGAAATATTTTCATCTTTTTGAAAAACGACTAAAATAGATTTATACACTACACATGACCGAAAATAGGTAAGACAGCATGACACGAGACCTCTTGTAGTGAATGACAGTTGGCCATGCACAATGTTATTCTGATTTGAATGTATTTGTAAGCAACAACAATTCGGGATTGATAAATCAGCTTATATGCGAAAAACAGCTGAGACTTTCGTTTTAAATACTCAATTCGAACGCCTTGGAAATGTTGAAATTTTTGGTGAGTAGAATACCATTCGTTTACGTATTTGGTTTTGACCATAGAAATAATTTTTTTGTTGATTTTCATTGAACAGCTTACTTTTGGCACGGGTTTCTATGCTGGTGCGTATGCAGCACAAAACTATGAAGTAAGCGAGACGCGATTATTCAATAGGTTGAATTTTGTTTATCGTCATTCAAATCTGACTAACACACCATTTCCATTTCCATAGATCCCAAAAGTAGACGATCCATCACGGGTATATGAACGAATTGTTGATTTTTTGGATCAGTATAGAAAAAAATGATGTATTCAGTCGTCGCGAGAATCTTAACAAGATATCATCCTTTTGATAGGGACTGAACAATAAAATGATTTTTTTAAGATGTTGTAGAGAGTCATATATGGCATCGTTGCACCTTTTGATGAATAAAATTAGTGTTAAACTAAAAATGCAATTTGTTTCAATATAAATATTTGTTTTATTTGATTTTTCAAAGTAATTTATGAATTAACAGAAAAGAAATGCTTGAACATAGGATTTATTTTTTTATCCGACGAACTGAATGTGTGAAATGTTTATGTAGATTTATTTTCGTGTCTATGTATTTCTTTTTTTCGCTGTAGAAACAACCTTAAATGTATTTTATTTGAAAATGTAATTTTTGGCGAGCAATTGTTTCTAAAAAAAATCCACTCTAAACGCCTTAAAACCCCGATGATTAACCACTCAAAATACTCTTGTTGCAAAAAAAAATGGTTCTTTCTATTTGTGTGGATGTTTTAAATTAGTGAGATACCACCGTCTGCATACTCCAGCCTTGTCTGTGCTTCCACAAACGCCAGCCAATCGGACGCGTGTGTCGGCAGTAATCCCATACTATGACATTTGTAAACAGCTAACGCAACATTCGCTAAATTCCCTAAGAAATACACTATCTTTTGTCCAGCTGCCTGTGTTCCTTCGATTACTTTGAATGTTGCTTGTGTTGCAATGATTGCCTTTATTGGACGAACCAACATCATGCCAACCATCATTATTGGAAATATCGAAATTGAGTTGCCCGACATGTACATAATCAGCAAATTCATTGGTACCTGAAATGAGATGACCACCAAAAATTAGAGACCATTTATTAGACTCCCTTTTGTGAATTGTGGGAAAAATTGTGGATGTTTACTTGTTTGATTGGTCCTAGGGCGATGTCCCATGATTTTTTGAGAATCAAATGGCTTTGGTCGGTGTCCATCGTGACTTCCATGTGACTTTGGCCCACTGATGGATTGAATCCAGGCGGCGATGGTAAATCGTTACCGCGGCTTCTATTGTACCAAAAAGTATAAACAATTTATGTCAATTCACATCAAACATCATTTTAATTGATAAATATTCCATTTTCATTGATGCTATTGATCAATAATCAGCGACAACTTTACCTTGTATTGAAATCAAGTGCCCATTTGAACTTCTTATTTCCCGATTTTGATGACATTTTTGACTAAACAATACCACTTTTTCTGTACAATTCGAATGCAGCTAGCTATTTATATTGTTCAATGAACGTTGGCTTTTTTTTCATACACACCAACTATTTATGACAAATGAATTATTAAATTAGATATTTTACTAACACGTATCTGTATTGCTCGGCTGTAGAATGATTTTGACAGTTCAAGTGTTATATGGTAGAAAAAATAGCAAAATAATCGTAGAGATAAAACGAAAAGTAAACAGAATTGATGATTTCCGTAAGATGGCGCTTCATAGTTGACTCTTTTTTTTCAATAGCCTCTATTAATAATAAACTTTGCTTTGACCTTATAATTTCACGCAAACTCTGCGGAAATTTAGAATATCGTTACGTTTCAAATAGATTTTTAGAATTCAAACTAAGAATCGGATCAGATTTTTGAATTTCCTATCAGTGGCTTTCAGGTTTTTTTTCGAAAATGAAGATTTTTTTTAAATTGATCAAATGAAACTAGCCTTTTTTCGTTTGCATTCTAGTAGTTTCTTTTTGCCAAGGCAATCTGTGGAAAATTCAGGTGAGAGAATTCGACACGAGCACCAGTTTTTTAGATTTTATTCTTCACAAGATACTTCTCGTTTTCAGATCATTTCATTTTGATTTTAGCCATCCAGAGCCAACATTCGGGCCGTTAAGTCAATTTTTTACAACACTTTTGGACATTTCCCAATTACCCATAGTTTTCTTGTCTCCTAGAATAGTTACTAGATCATTTTATTTTGATTTTGGCCGCCCATGGTCAAAAATCCGCCAGAACCACCTAATCCAATTATTAATGCCAATTTTTGTACGATTTTTCGAGATTGAGCTCAATATGCTGGCTATTTTACTTTTATAATCCGTACATTGTAACTTGATCTATTCCTCCCTTGTACTTTAAATTTATGTAAAACAACTACACCTTCGGAAGCTATCTAGGGATCAAAATTTGCCAGATAATGGCTATGGGTGGCTCTATTCATTAATTTTCCAAAAGTAAATTGTTGTGAATCTCTTAAATATAAATATTTTTGGCCATAAACACTGCCGCCAGAAAGTTTGGGTACGATTAACAATTTTCATACAAATTACTGTTTTTCACACGTGTCGCGGACCATGAAGCAGTCATTTCCGATAGATAGTCTATTCAGACGAAATGTAGGTCATAGTATCGACTACATTTCATCTGAAGACATCAACTCTCAGAAGTGATTCCATCATATGATTTTATTGGTTGTAATCATATAAAAAAAATCAGTTTTTTGGAGAATGCAAATTTGAATACCAAAAAACTTTGAATAAGTCATTACGGACAGTTATTGTCTTCAGATGAAATGCAGCCCATTCTGTGATCTACATTTCGTCTGAATAGACCATCTATCGGAAATGGCTCCTTCATGGTCCGCGACAAGTGTGAAAAACGGCACTTTGAAAATCGTTAATCGTACCCAAACTTTCCGACGGCAGTGTATATATAAATCATTCACAACCACAAACAAATGAACCAAACACAAGTGAATTCGAGTGACCGTCCTAATTACCGTGGATTTTTCCATATATAACACCTTCTTTCTCTTGCACATTTCCTTCAATATAAAAAATGGACAATCAATTATTTTTAAAATGTTTCAACAGTAGAAAATATTTCAGATTTTGAAACGCATTCATTTTTGAACATAAGTAATGATATGCCGGTAATGAAAAAAAATGAGTAAATAATTAATTTTAAATATTTTACGCAATATCTTAATGACTTATTGACTCGTTTTGAAAGTTCGTAATCATGTGCATTTTTTTGCACCTGGAAATTGACTTAGTCGTAGTTTAAACATCAAATTGTTAACATCAAATTAGTTTTTCAAGAAAAAATTATTCAATTCGAATCAGTATCATGATGAAGTCGTTAATTATCTTGAGCATATGCTTGACCTTAGCTTCCGCAGGTAATTCAAAAAAATTTATCTGATTTTTTTTTTCAAATAATTCATCAATTTTTTTTTTCTTCAGCGCCATATGACTCGTAAGTAAATCATGAATTTTCAGCATCGAGGAAAATGCCGTTTTTATCTGTTTTCAAATTTTTAGTGAGATTATTACGAATAACATAGCCACCGATAACCAAACAATAAATGACGAACAGTTTCTTCATTTAGCAGCCAAAAATGGTATAAACTATCATCAGTTTTAAAGCTAAAATTTTAGTAGAAATTAATATCACCATTGGTTTTTAAATTAAAAAGTATTTTAATTATTTTTGTCCCCAAAAATTGTGTCTATCCAGGTGATCATATGGCAGTAATAAAATTTATTGATTTGGGTGCATCGGTGAACAGTGTCTCCGAAGATGGATCCACGTCTCTTCATAAGGCAGCTGAAGGTGGTAAAGAAAAAGTGGCGGTCATTCTTATCAAAAATGGTGCAAATGTGAATTCAAAAGATTTGGACGGATTTACACCACTCCATAAATCCATATCAAAAGGTATATAATAAAATGACTGAATTGAACTTCAATATATAAAATTGTTGAATTTTCAGGGCATGAAAAAATGGTCGAAATTCTAATTGAAAATAATGCAGACGTTAATAATCCATCGAACAATGGATCAACGCCACTACATGCAGCTTTTCAAATTGGTAATTATTTGGATTGAAATATGATTTAAATTATCACAAAATATACGAATTCCAAATTTTAGCCAATCCAAAAATAACCGAAATTTTAATTAAAAATGGAGCCGACATGACGATTCTAGACAATAGTGGTCAAAGTGTTTTAAAAATGTCTCTGAATAGTATTAACACGGGAATGTCTACCCTCTGGTTTGGTATTCGTGAGATGGCTCACAAAACCATGCATATCGTTTCAAACCCGATGGATGTACTTCGCAAGTCAAACGTTGAAATTTCATATAATCCCAATAATAAAATACATGAAATAAACAATTATTCAAAATCTAATCATGTGGTTAAAACAAACTTTGGAATTGACGATGTATTAAAAATAATCAGTTCCATTCAAAATGTATTAAAATCAGTGTATTAATTCATCAATTTTATTTATTTACCCGAATTCTATTTCATTCTCTTAATTGTAAATTATAAATGTGTCTCCAATTCAAGAGAATCCCGTTCATTATTTAACTAAGCAGAAAGTGTATCGCACAATTTACAATAAAATTATTATTTATTTATTTTTATTCCATATGCATAAAATAAAGAGAGTTAGATCAATTTATGATTGACAAAAAAAAAAAATGTGTGATTTGAATTCAATAACATGTTTCTTTTTAAATTGAAGGTAAAAATTAAGATGGTTATTAACCGATTCATTGAAAATATTACTTTTAAAAGGAATTTTCATTAACTGTGAAACAGTTGTATTGCGATTCGTTATAAAAATTAAAATATATATCGGTAAATATGTGAATGAAGTTCGTTTTGTGATTTTATGAAAACTGATAAGGTAAATGAGGCGCTTATGTAAAGGATACTAAAATCGGACCAAAAGACTTTTAAAATAAAGTATGAATGTTTGCTTGGTCAAAACGCCATTCACTCGACCGATCAATAAACAAATACTTCAATATCACAAGTGGCTATCAGACATGAGTCACTTTCTTCTTCAACTTTCTCTTCTCGTTAATTCACAAAAATGCAATACTTTTTTGTTTATTTATTAATGAATCAAACCTTGACTACATTTATTCACGTAAAATTTAACCAAGATTGCAAGTGTATCCAATTTTCAATTATATTTAGAAGAAGAAAATATACGAAAAATAATCAAAATAAAAAGAAATGAAGAGAAAATTGTTTCAAGATCGTTTAGATTTCGTACAAAAATGTGTGTATGTGTGTTTGTTTTCCTATTTGAATAATTTACGAAGGTGATTGTTTAAAATACAGTGTAATTAATTTCAAGCGGTAGTTTTGTTTCGATTTTATTTTAGTTGGTGTCTTTCATCTTTTCGCTGAGCCACTCCTTTCTATGCAATTGTTTTCGATGTTTGTACATGTTTGAACGCCAGACAAAAGCTTGATCACAGTAGGTGCACTTGTAATTTTTGCTTTTAAGATGCATCGAGATGTGGTCCTGCAAGAAAAAATGTCAATTGATCAAAATTCAAATAAAAAAAAGCAGAAACAATGTACGCTTGAAAAGGTCAATGTTATGGAAAACGATGTGAAAATGAAAATTGATTTTTGTATATGTGTGTGTCATACCTTAAGTGAATCTTCCAACTTAAATGATTTCGTGCACAGATGGCATTTATACTTGGATTCGCAATGAACCTGGCGAATATGACTGTATAATGCATTTGAATTGGGCGAAATTTTGTCACATTGATTGCATTGGAACTTTGACTTCGGTTTTTGTGGATCAACATTATCATTGTTATGTTTTTCTACATGGTTATCCAATTGTGTTTTGGTTTTGAACTCCTTAATTGTGACATTTCAAAAACAAACAAAAGAATTAATACAATTATGCTTACATTGGTATAAAAACAACAACTACAACTACAACAACAACAACAAAAATAATGAAAAATGAATCGTCTTACTTTTCCACAAATGCCACAATTCCACAAAGTCTTATGTTTATTATCTTGGTGGAAAGGTTCCTCAAGATGTGGCGGCCATTCCAGCGGTTGATCGTTCCGAAAACCATAAAAATTATAGGCGCACATAATATTTGAAATGAATAAAAAGAACTTTTAATAAGTGTATACTCGAAAAAATAAACACCAAATGTCATAAGCGAACCTTACGAAATATGGCTTTGTACGGTCTATGCATTCAATATTCACACACATTGACAGAAAACATTACGTTTATACGTTATGCATACGTATATACGTAATTTCGTATTTGTTTCAACTATTATCTGGGAACATTGGAAATAAAACGCATACTAGCACATATGTTGTACGGTTTTTACATTACATTTGATGGGATTTTTTTACGAATCGTCAAGATTTACTCATTTTGAATCGTAAATGTATTCAGTTTACATTAAACAAACGTAATTTGAAAACTGCATATGTATGTGTATGCGTGTCTATATGTGTTTTTTTTGTAACCAAATAATCATTTCGCATAACGTACATTAAAAATAAATTTATACCATATTCGTTGTGACATTTGATGGGTTCTTCATTTTTTTTTCTCTTCCAATTTATTGTGAGCAAAATTTTGATGAAAAGATTTTCATAACAAATTTCGAATAAATTAACAAAAATTTGCTATCTTGAATCCAAAAAATAATTACGATACGATATTGATGCAGTGTGTCCAAAACGATCATATTGATTTTATTTAAATTTCTGGCGTCTTTTTTTATAAAAAAATTTCAACAAATTCTTTTTATTATAGAAATTCTATAATTGCTTCAAAATCTATTATTATTTTTTTTTTTTTTCAATTTTATTTACCTTTTTAATTTCTTGACGAGTGCTGAAGCACGTCAAAAATTATCGTTTCGATAAAAATGTACTAAATAATATAATTCCACCTATGCCATTAATATTTTTTCTGTGATCGGCTGTCGATATTCACTTTTTACATAAAATATTGTTTTTTTTTTTTTTTTTTTTTTTTTTTGGGGGGGGGGGGGGGGAATTTAATTAATTTGGATTTTTCTTCTACTTTTAATACACTGAGTCTTATGAGAATTAAAACTCAATAAAAGTGTATTAATAGTAGAAGAGAAATCCAAATAAATTGTATTGAAAATACATAAAGATTTAAAATTAATAACTAAATGACATAAAATTTGTAATATAGGATTAGAATTCATCATTTTTTTGAAAATATTCTTGCTGAAATTTGTCAATATTTAAAAAATAATTATCTTCTGTAATTCGTTATTTTTGGTGAAAAGAATTTAAATGAATACTTTCATTGATTTGTTCAGTTCATGATTTTTTTAGTAGGAAGGACCACAAGTTATTATTGAAATTTATTTAAATATTCAATTCCTTGGAATTGGATGTGTTCAATCAATTGAAGCAGAATGCAATAGCTTCAAAGTGTCATTATGTTTCTTAATTTAAGCCAAAATGTGATAATAATTATAATGAACATCATATTCAAAAAATTTCAAGACATGTACCCATTCTGAGTGCGTATCAAACACCATTAATTTTCCCTTGAATCCATTTTTAGTGTCAAATAGTGTTGTAGCATGAAACAATCGAATGTTCAACTTTATGCGATTTGGGCGTCTTTTAACAAATTCAACGATTTCATTATAATCATTTTTTTCAAAACTTTGAATTCCATTTTTTGGCCAAATTACATCGAAATATTGTAATTGAACAGAGTATCGTAACATCTTTTTGATCACATCGAAAGTTATTTCGACCCGATGTTCATGAACAATGGTCAATGATTTTAAATTTGGCAACGTTTGGGCCAATGTAATCAAATGGCTATCCATAAATGTCGCGCTTACATGTAATTTAAGAACATTAATATTACTTAAACCAAAAATATTATTAATCGAATCATCGAGTCTTAGTTCTAGGTCCAGCTGTTGTGGTTGCAATTCTCCTATTTCTTGAAATTCTTCTGTCGTGATTGATCCATCGGTAATTAAGCTTAAATATTTAACGTTTTGCATATTTGTTCCGAAAAGAGTACTAAAATTCTCCGAATATTCGAGTGTAACTTTTTCGATTTGTGGATTACATGCCAAAAACTCATCAAAAATTATAGGCCGGGATCTTATTTGGCATTCCACTAATTTTGAAAGTGTGATTTTTGGCAATTCTGTTATGAATACTTGATGGCAACTTTTTACGGTTAACGTCTCCAATTGAGAACAAGCCGAAATAAATTCATCCAATGGAATATATTCAGCACCGCACACGAGACGTAAGTCCAAGTTTTTCAATTTTGATAGTAGTGAATTAATCTTATTTATGGTGCCAATGCTAATATCGGAAATTGTGAGATTAAATTTAATCAGATTGTTGCAATATTTATGAATTATTTTCAAAAATATGTCCGTAACTGCGGGCATATCATTTGGTTCACGAAATTGTAATGATTGAACCGACGAACCAAATTCGCATAAGAAATTTTCAATTTTGCTGAAACTTTTCAAATCCCAAATATTTACGTCACAACGTTTAATTTTCAATGGAAATATTTGTTTGGCAATTTCTTCAAAACGTCCACACACCTTTTGTATCGAATGAAAATCACCAATGTTAACTACTTTTTCAAATATCATTCGCAAACAATCATCATTGAGAATGTTCAAGATATTTTTTTGCGTTTCGTTGTTTGGCATGGAATTTGGTTTCTCAAAATCTTCAATTTGATCATTTCGGCTTAATAAACCATGTATAAGCAGTTGAGCTTTTTTGAGCGGTTCAACTTTGAACTTTTGGTGATTGAATGTGATTTGTCGTCGCATCACTAGTCGATCAGCTGTTTTAATATTTTTGAACTCGATCAGTAGATATTGTTCCTTTTCTCGAACAAAATATTGGGTCGATTCAATGGCACCATATTTACGCAGAAAGCTGTACACAGCATAGAGGTCAACCTATAATTAGACAGTATTTGAAATTCATTTAAAAGTGACTAATATCTATTTGATAGATGAGTGTACTTACGTATCCCGTATCGTCTTCTGGCACATTTGCTGTTATTTGGATTGTTCTATCTATCGCATCTACAGTGAATATTCTCTCCCAATTCTGAATCAATTGTTGCTTTTCAACCTCGTTCATTGTCTGTATCATTAAAGATATAGCGTTTAATAGTTTTTTTTCTATCGATTTTTTGTCTTGATGAAAATAAACAACAAAATTTATTTAACATACCTATTACTCTAATCAATTTTATCGCAAATAAGATAAATACAGAAAAAAACAAATGACTTTGATTTTCAATAAAATAAACCAGTAATTTTCTTGTCACTTTCAAATTGTTTTAAAACACTCCTTATTACAAGGCACAAACCGAATGAAATGAACGTTGTTTCTCTAATGAGCCAAAGAAAATATTCAAAAGTGGTAAAGGCAATGTGACTTAAACCACAAGTGTGTGGCGATGTGCGTGTGTGATATAGATCTAATATAGATAGAAATGCAATTAGTGCACTGAATTTTTGTGTATGTGTGCGTTTGAGTACGTATTTGTATGTAAAACGTGCAAAAAATCACTTTAAATTGATAATAAGTATGTGCAGAAATGAGCAATTGTTAGAATGAACATTTGTTAGGTTTTTCTTTTTTAACTTATGTGAGCTACTTGAGATGGCTGTAAATATTTGAATTTTTCTCAATGAAAATTTAATGATAAAAATGAGAGGAATAGTTTCAAATATGTTAATTTAAATATATTGTACAAAGTCGTTTCAACCACAATGTAGAAAATAATGAATAAAAAAGTAATAGGTCTATCTACATACTTTGTGATACAGAAATGTGAAAATATTTAGGATAAAAAAAAATTAAGAAAAAAAAAATATCAAACATTATGAAATAAATACACAATGAAAATATAATGATAGACATTTCAAGCTGACAAATATGATTTAACGAAAGTTTGAATGATTTGATTAAAATGTTCCATGGCAACGGACGAATTTAATCAAAGTTCTATAGTTTTCCACTGATCAATACTATTTTGATGCAATATTCATTCAAAAGTTTTCAAAGGTGTATTTTTTTCCTTTCTCTCGAAAATTAATTTATGAGACAAAACGAGGTCCTTCCAAAATACGATCTCTAGGGTAGTCAGAAGCTATGATTTGAAGTAACCATTCAAAGAAAATGGATGCTCAATCATTTGAACCTAGCGCGGGTAAAAAGAAATGTTGTTATTTTCAATTGCTTATTTAAACCAACATTATTTCATTCAGGTACAAGTACAGTGCCGCGTTTCCAAGCCATCAACATTTTACTTTAATATGGAATATAGTACCGACTGATTTTTGCGAAAAATATTAAAAATATTTTACAGTAGAAAAAATCGAGAAAATAAAATTAATTTTCAAGATCAGAAAATAGATTCTTTTCTTAAGAGTCTTTTAAGAGTTCAAAACTCTCCCAGACAAAACCAAAAATAATGAATTCGTCAACCACAAATAGTGGATGTCTCAAACATTCTTAGGTGTCAAGTGATATTACTCACTTTCCTTTGTCTGCTCTTGATGTGGTCATGTTCGTTAAATAAAAAAAAAATCTTTGATTTTGTGTTCAATTCTGAAGGAGTGATTTTAAAAACAAATAAATGATATGTAAAAGTAGCGATTAAATAAAGTTTTCATGTTCACCGACAACATTGATAGCGTTGAGCAACTGAACTAGAATGACGACAGAGCGACCACGTCAAATGTTTATCGTAAACATCATTCTAAATATAGATTGCATTTGAAATGTGATTTAGTTGGTAAAGAGTGCACAAGGTGACCATAAGTAGTATTTTGAATATAGAGAGTCTTTGATATATAACCGCGATTATGACAAACATTTACAAATTCAACGCCAAAAGTGTAGCCCACACACGAACCGAATGTGCAAATGAAATGTCTTAGAAGGCGATATGCTTTGTGTATATAAAATCACATCAATACAAATACACAAAGAGCGGAAACTTTGGGTCGCTTTTGTTTGTTTTTTTGCATCATCGGTTTTCAGTCTAAAAGAGTGTTGATGTCGTCATTGTGACAATGTGACGACTACGCAATAAATAAGACAAAACAGAAAAAGCACTCTCTTCAATTCACAGTTGTAATAGTAAACAACTTTCAGTCGAATTGACGAGATTGAGAGAAGGCAATGAATCATCGCAGTGGACGCGAATACACAGACATACATGTATTTCATACTGGAAATACGGAACCATCGCCAAATACGAAGGCCATTTAAAGAAAGTATATGTATGGATTAAATCGACATTCAATACCGACACAAACAATAAAGGCATGTGCTACACAATGATGTAGCGCCTGCACATATGACATATTTTTTGTTGTTTTTTTCTTTTTTCATAATGGTCCGAACGAAGAGGACGAGAGGAAAGAAGAAGAAAGAAACGTAACAACAAAAATAAGGAGCAAATGAGATCTGTTGCCAAAAAAGTCTATATTTCCTCTTAACCTAAATAGCAAAATAAAAACCCTGATACGGCGACGCTCTTCTGCGACGATTTACGACATTTATTCCGCAATGAATGCGTAACATATCTGTATGTATATTTATTTTTATTGTGTTGAGTCGCCCGATGTTGTAGGGATACCGTAGGTTTTCAGCATACCGTCAATGTCGTCATTGTTACAAACACAACTCGAATGTGTGAAAACAAAGTATCGAAATCGCAAAATAACCGCGGATCGATCACAATCATCGAAAGAGAACGAAAACAAGAGAAAAACCGATGCATACGCACATACATTTGCAAATTGCAATATTTAATTGAGCAAAATGCTCAAACTTTTTAAGAGAACCGTCAAGAAAATTGCACAAAAGATTTGCGCTGCTGTTTATTTTCACAGTCACAACTCACTATCGAATCAATGAAAGTGTTTGCGGACAAGTTATTTATAAATGTGATCTGTGGAATGGTGCATACGTGTTTATTTTCATTTTTCTCCTCGAAAATTTTGTTGTTTTCATTCTTGATTTCTATTTCGTTTTTCGTAAATTTTCATTTTTCTATTTCGTTCTGAAAACCATTCAAAAAATTAATAATTTTACGCTTTGTTTCAATTATGAAAAAATTGCATTTGCTTTTGTTAAGCCGCGGTGTCAAATGTACCGTTAATCTTCTATTGATACATATCGTATAAATTAACTGAAAAGTCATCGTTAATTTCAACTGCAAAATTTATTCATCTGAAATTTCGTAGAAATTATATGGGTTTTGGTTTTCACCACCCTAGAATGCATTCGCATTATAAAAATAGACTAATCTATGTACAAAATTTTGTTGTGTTTTTTTTTATTTGTGAAATATTCCATTTCAACTTGCCAAAATCACTCAGACGATTTGATAATTTTATTCGAATGAACGCGCGATCTCTACGACACAAATAAATCGTTAACCATTCTCCTTCGAATTACTCAGCAATTTTTGCAAGCAGTCTTTTTTTCTCATTTCTATCTGTTTGGTATCACAAGTGGGTCATGCCCGTGTCATCATATTCATATGCCATAATTAGAAATCCAATTAGAAATGTGTTTTGTGTCGCGGTTTTATTGATGACATTATTATTATTTTTTATTTAGCCACTGATCTAAGCCTTACTTTCAAAACTAAATCACCTTCTTAAAAACCGATCTCTTTCGATATGGAAAGGTATGGGATTATGCACATAAAAATAAAATTCACTAAATACGAATGAAAGATGAACAAAGCACCTGAGAAAATAGAAAAAAAGCGTTTCTCATTTGGCAGCGTACTTACAAAAATGCAAATTTGACGATGCGTTTGATAATAACATATGTGCAATTTCAATTTGATCGTGAAATAAGATTTGCATCATTTTTTATTTACTATTTTGTACCCAGTTGCTGCGTCAATTGCCTATTTTAAGTAATTCATCTGTTTATATATTCTGAATAAAGAATCTCCATCAAATTCTTTCGATTGACTTAATCAATGAACGTTTGAAGTGATTTATTTAATGCCTATATCTAAGTAGACTTGATTTCAGGTCATGAACTTTGAATGTGAATCATATACTCAATGAAAATAAATTGAAATGAAACTTTATCTATTGTATGGTATGTTGATGAAATTCTGAGAAGTTTTCAGCCGTCCGAATGAGTGAAAAAAAAAAGAGAAATGACTAAAATGATCTATTTATGTTGAATATTAATTAGGTTGTAATATTGGCATTTGAATAAAAAAAGAGTGTCAAAAACAAACATTCCTTCGGTATTTCTCACTTACATTCATACCTTTCGTTCGCTTAATTTGCAAATACAAAGATATTCAGGTATTTTTCCAAATGTTGTGCACATTCTTTGCGTTTATTTTGTTTTTTCCATTTTCAAAGCACATATTTTCTGTATCACATTTATTGTACTCCAATAAAATTTAAACAATCTGATATTCACGTCATCGTCGTCCGGAATGTGTGTCTATCTGCTCTAATAGCATTTATTCATACGTGCAATTGACGTGATGGTGATTCTCGACTGTATTCAAATCGTGATGCCATTTAATTTATTGAGACTGTATAAACAATAGAATCTCTTCTGAGTATCTTGAGCGAAAATATGCGACAAAACGCTAACACATGTTTTCATACGATATTGTTTATACAGAGGTGTGAGCATCACATATCCAACACAAAATGATTCACAACCGAAATTCCAATGAGGAAAATACAATACAAATTGTTTATGTTTGAATCTATTATTTGGCACTTTATTGAGCTATTATCTGTTGTCAATGAATAATAAAATCTGAAGCTATTTATTATCGGTTAAGTTCAGATTTTATTGGCATAATACACGTTGTTTGCGAAGAAGTTTGGAGGCTCGAACTTTGTAGTAGTCGAAGAGAAGTAGGCGATTTCAAGTACTGCTTCTTATATTCATAATAAATACGTTTAAACATGTATGTTTAAAAATAAGCAAAAATATACACCTTGTCAATGGGATATACATTTTTTTATATTTCGTTAATGATGAAAAGAGCTCATTGTGTCAGTCAAATTACAACTGATTTATTTCATGAGGCTTAAATTTTATAAAGGCGACAGAGACGAAAAACAAAATTGAAATAAATGGAAAGTGGTAAAGAGTTTGTATACGAATTTATGGAAAATCTGCATCGATAACAATATTATGCACTACGAACAGTGCATAAGACGTGTATTCGACAATAATTGGCACACTAAAAATGAACAGAAGTCAATGGACAACAAAATGTTAATTGAGCACTTTGATTTCACTTTTGCATAAAATGCTCCATTTTGCATTCGAACGGTATGTGTAATGTATCGGTGTGTTGATAACATTGATTTACGATTCAATCGGTTAATTACTTTGGGTGGTCACCCGTCCAATTTGGCAAAAAATAATTATAAACCTGCTGTCTATTCATTTATTAGCGTTCAATGGTTGTCGAAAATTTTTGCCCGTTCTGTTTTGGAGGCTTTTTTGTGTGTGAGTGTGTATGAATTTGGTATTGTGTGCAAAGCCGGCTGAATTTCCAATAGTTTCATGACATATCCTACGTGTTTGGATTTGCAAATTTGTATTCAAATTAGATTCAATATCCACACGTCTCTCGATCAGTCTCGACCGTAAGATTGAAAGTTGAATATTTTTAAAACGACGAACATTGAATTTCGACCATTTTCGATTTATTTCGCTGCTTTGTCATTTTCATTTATGGTGGTAGTTGTTGCAATACCTTCATTTTATCTTTAGGCATCTTTTTATTTATCTTGTCTGTGCTCATCTAGAACGAATTGAATGACAATCAAGTTTGAGTACAAATTAAGTAATATCCATTGCAATCATATACGAAAAAAAAACTGATTTATTTTAAGGAAACACCAAAAATGCGTTTCAATCAAATTTCTCCTTTTTTCATATGATCATCACAATAATTTCTCGAATCTTCGATCAAATGTGAAAAATTGCGCGATCTAAAGTTTAAAAAAGTTGTTTCATTGTTGACCATGTGTCCGTATGTATTTTGTATGTTTGCGGAAAAAAAAAACATTTTTGTTCGAATAATTTCTACGCGTTTCTAGGAATTTCATGACTGTTATGTATGGGTGTGAACGGTGTAAGCTTATAATGTACGCCAACAATTGGAAATAATAGCGAGTTGGCTGCTAAAAGTGATCAACGTTTGAATTGAATGAGTAGATAGACCTGCACCAAAACTGTATTGCAAATGTTAAAAAATTCCCACACAAAAAACGACATGTATATATACAATGTTGTGCCCACATTGTTTGGCGTCGTCTGTATGTGCGATTTGTTGCCCGCAATAAAGAACGAAAGAATGACAGAGAGACGTAGAGCATGTATATGATGCGTGTGCGTGTGTGTGTGTGTAAGCTTTCGCGGTTACAGGCTACATGACACCGTCGACTATGGGTGTGTGCTCAACATCGATATACATTCAATTTCGTGTGATGTTCACGAGTGAGAACAACAAAAAACAAAACGTGCAAACGACTTTTTCGTCAGTTAAGTAAGTGATACGTAAGTGTGAAGAATATTTTATCGCAGCAAGCAAGTTGGGTCGAGTGAATTGTAAAAAAAAAAATATATATATCTTCGTCGACATTTTTTGTTCAAATTTCGGTGTGTTTTTATTTTAAATTGAAAAATTGTGTGAGATTCAAAAAGGATTTAAGGAATTCACAACAATTTCAATGTGAATTTTTATCTTCTAACAAAAATCTCATTTAAAAATCTGCAAAGAGACAAAAAAAAAATTAATGTGGAAAATTCCGGTGCACAGGAACTAGAAAGGGAAAAAGTGCCATTACAAAATAAACATCCGTAAAAAAATCAACAAACGTTCTTGAAACGTTGAGAGAACAAATTTGAAACGGAATTTTATTGAAATTTGTGTATGAAACCATGAAACCGACTGTGATAAATAATAACAGTGAAAATCCCCATCAGCCCCAGCACGACCAACAAAATGTGAATCATAATCAAGCAAATAATGGTCAACCACCTACTGACCATTCGCGACGATTTCCACAATTTCGGGTAAGTGGCGTTTGACCTTGTGTAGATATTCGAACAAAAATCGAAAGCTGCACGAAATATGTTCGTCAGCGCACTAAGCTCATTATCTTTGAGCTCTCATCAATCGACAATAAACGCGCATCGCAAAGAAAATGAAATATAATATGATTTCCTTATCGCAACATTGTATTACACCACCAACAAATTTCATACAAGTTTCTTTTTTTTTTTGGCTCATTACTTTAAATGTAACTATTGCCTGTAATGGTTCGAATGTTTTCGGCTTCAACCGATTCGATATGACACATAAGGCGAGAGATTCGATGCTAATATCAGACCAAAATTATTGGATAATAGATTTGTGATTGTTATGTTCAAAAAAAAAAATTAATGTTTAATCCAATTGAGAGCATGAAAACTTATTGTTATGAAAATTTAATTTGGTTAATTAAATTAAGGACAAACATAAAAAGAAAATATTCACTTTTGGAATACGCCATTAAAATTGGCAACCTCTTTGTTTTGCTGATTTTTCTGTCTTGAAAAAATGTAAAGATTGAGCAAAACAGCGGGCGAAAGAGGCTCTGAAAGAAAAGTATGGCCAGAATCGTCCAATAGGACAAGTGTAAATCAAAAGAAAAAGAATATATAGAACGTGCGGATTTGCGCAAGCTCTCCTTTTGTGTTGCTGTTTCTTTTTTTCATCGTCGTCGTCGTCGTCATCATCGTTTTTGTTCATCGTGATGAGTAATACACACATTCGATCGTTGAATATACTGGGTGCGCGCAATACTGTATCTGCTCTGTTTATATTGTGCATACCAATGATACATTGAAAAGTGTCTGGCATGATGAGTTTGTGTGGTTTTTTTTGCATATTTTCTTCTTCTTACGCTTTTCTTTCTTTTAAAAAACCCCATTTCATTGTTCATGTGAGGCAATTAAGTGCGTCTTTTCCACTTTCGGTGCCATATAATCCACATAAATATTAAAATGTGAAATATCATTGCGCGTGATGAGCGAATTTCAGTAATCAAGTCAAATTCATGCATGAAAAATGCCCACGGAAAATGTATCCAGCGATTAAAATTTGTGCTAAAATCAAATGAAATTGCCTCAGATGTATTATGATTGACGAATGACGCCAAGAAAAATCAAAATGTTCAGAAAATAGTGTGGCTGTTTGTTTGGACTCGTCTTTGGTCATTTAAAATCAAAGTAAATGCTTCTTTGTCCGTGAACCTGCAGCCGCTGCAATCGTTAACATTTTGTCTCGCTTACACACGCGCAAGCATTCACATACTTTTTAATTCCCTGGATCTTTCTATTCCTCTCTCTCTCTCTCTCTCTCTCTCTCGTCCATTTTCTCTATCGTTCTGACGATAGATTAAGTGGCGACATGAGAAATCACCATTCATTCTTTATGTTTCGTCGTCGTTTTTATATTTGTTTCCTTCACAAAATTGCCAGCGGAAAATTATTAATATTTTTTTCGCGTGTGCTCCGTTGAACAGAAAATAAAAGTGACGGCCACACAACGGAGTATATTTTTTTTATCGTCGAGGTTCGTGTCGAATTAAATTGGAATACCAAAGAGATGAATGAAACCGTTGAAAACGACCGAAGCAAATATTGAGCCTTTTTTGTTTCATTCGTCTATGTAAAAAAAACAAATTCTTATTTCTATTCAGTTGGTGACTTCATTAAAATATTGCTTGTTTGAAGCAAATCTCACGATAGTATTAACGCGATGTTGTGTTTTAGCGATTTATACGGCACAGGATTTTTTTTTTCTTCAAATATTTATATGAGATTGAATGAATGTGTTTGTTGATTATGACCATGTTATTGCCTCTCTACACAACCTACTCACGATAGCTAAAATGCCAGCCAAACGAAGCAACAACGCCACAGCAAATTTTATAGAGAAATCTGTATAATGATTTCAAAATGAATATATATATTATTATTTTTCATTTGCTCCGTGGTATGCACAAAGAAATTGTCGTTGAACCATTCCGACGACGGTGTGACTTTTGTAATATTCTCTCTGAGGCAAAAAGTACAAAGCGTACACCGCTGTTCCGTATGTTCAATGATCGAGTAATATAGTTTTCGTTTGGCTCATTGAGCTGCTTATTATTCAAATTAGAATTGCGATTGTGAGAAGAGACTCGAAACTGGTGAATCTGATCTTCTGTATTGTGATGAATTGTTTTTAGCTGTTTCGCTCTTGCTTTTTCATGCGAACTCACAACTGATCGAGCAAACGCAAAGTTATAAATAAATGATTTTTGTTTTAATAGCGCGCATTTGTTGTTTGCTAAATTGATGTGTGTTGTTCTCGCATCATGCGCTTAACGTTATTTATTCACTTTCCGTGAATCAACCAGATTCTGAACTATAGACACTATTGTACCTTTCTCACATCGTATGAATGAGCTTTTGCCGTCGTCTCTCTCTGTGTATTAAATTTGACATTTCAATCGTGGTTATTAATTATTTTCTTTATGTCTATTCCGTGTAGCAACATGGTTTTGGTTTCGACGATCCAGATGGTGATGTATTTGCCGATATGGGATTGCGATCACGTTTGAATCGTATGGGAAATCCATTTGATTGGAGTGCTCGTAAACGACGTGGATCTGGACAAAATTTGGCCGATGCCCATCATTACTTTGATGATGTTGATTTTCCATTTGGTTCGACATGGGATGCATTTGGACGTGTGGGCAATAAACGACATCCAGCTGGAGCAGCTGATCGTAGTGGTTTCTTCGATTATGTTCCACCTGAATTAAGACAATATGTGCCCGAAAATTTCGGTGGATATTTTCGTGATGATCGTCAGCCCCCACACCATCAGCAGCAACCACAACAACATCACCAACAACAACAAATGCCACCACAGCAACCACAAATGCCACCGCAACAACAACAAGGCTATCAACAAACCGGATCAAAATCGAATCTTTGCGATGCGGCCATTCAAACAGACGATCTTGGCGCTCAAAATAATGGCAACGATCGCAGAGAAGGATCCAACAACTCTGGACATGGTTTGTATTTTCATTTTGTTTTGAATTTCGATAGCTTTTAGCTTAAGACGAGAAAATGTAAATTGGAGCGATTGAAAGAAACTAACGACTCTATTTTTAACAGATAACCGAAATGATGGCAACGTAAATCGTAGCTCAAGTGCAGCATCGAGCTCGAGCACCTCGACACCATATGGAAATCAAGTGCATATGTCAACATCGGCCGATGGACCCGGAGCTTATGCGGGTGCAGCAGCCGGAAATAATCAAAATCAATATTATCAACAAAGTCCGAATTATGCACATCAAACACCACAATATGGGCGCCATTATCAACAACCATATGGCCAACAATATCAATATTCACAATCTCCACAACAAAATCAATTTTATGCTCAAGCTCCGCCACCTCCACCACCACAACCACAACCGCAACAACAACAGCAGCAACAACATACACCACAAGAAGGTTTTGTTCGAAATGTACCCATCGTACTTGAAGAAACTGGAACGCCAGTTAATCGTAGCACTGAAACTGGCGCACCGCCACCAACTAAGACTCAAACAGGCCCGACCAAAACTAGACCAGAACCACTTAACAAAGAATCATTCGCATCAAATGAGCCAATACCTTGTCCACCTCCGCCCGCGTCTCAGAATCAACAATCACAACCACAGCATTCCGGTTAGCGTTTTTCTTTTTTCTTACTTTGAATTTATATTTAAAAATTGAAGAAAAAAAAAATTGAAAAATTAAACTAAATTTGGAATATTGTTTTTTATTTTTAAATTGTAGATAATCAAGAAAATGCTGATTTAGCGCCACCACAAACACCTCATACCGCCGATTGTATATCAAAAATTCAAGCAATTCAACGTGATGTGTTGGAACTTATGTTGGCTGTTGAACAATTTGGTGGAAAACGCGGTGACAAAGATTACATCTACTTAGATGAGATGCTCACACGAAATTTGCTAAAATTAGACACAATTGATACAAATGGAAAGGAAAGTATACGATTGGCACGAAGAGAGGCAATCAAATGTATTCAAACATCGATTGCTGTGCTAGAAGCAAAATCTGATTTGCACTTGAATGAAAAGAGAGAAAGCATCGATCAGACAAACAAGGAACAGGCCGAAGATAGTGCCAGTACTGAAACCGGCACTGCGATGGCACCATCACCAGTATCAACTGAAGAAAAACCAGCCGAAAAAATGGATGTTGAAAATACAAATACTGAACAAAGCGCAACGAATTCCGATGCGGCCACTGATGCAAATACCGATATTCCCAAAGTTGAAAATATTACCATCGACGATAAGACAAGCAATGACAATGATAAACCATCACCAACGCAAACCGAACTGGAATCAAAACCAGAAGAAAATAGTGCCACTTCAGAAAATACAGCTGATACTAAAAATTAAGCGACTATACTTGATTAAAATTGCGACATTTTTCGTCTTTATCAAACCAACTAGTTTTTAAATGACAATGAACATAATTTTTGTTTACACTGACCGATAAAAAAAATGAAAGAAAGAAAAACAAATCTAATGCGAAAAAAAATTGTTGAAAATATTTAATAAAAAAAAAAGTTAGAAGAAAGAAAAGTTTGATGTTTCATTGTTGTTTCATTTGTCTCGTATCGTTTATCTGCCTTTATTACTGTGTGTGTGTTTTTTTTTTAAAACTTTTGACTAAAACATTGTTGTTTGGTTATTTATTGCATCGAATTCAAAAGTTTTTCGATTAATTTCTGTCGTTCACGTTCTCGTTGCTCTCGTTCAACGTTTCGTTTTTTCGCCAAACGCTCATGGATACGCTTCATTTCCAAAATCTCTTTCATCTCTTCTTTGTCACTTTCCTAAAATGGAGAAATTCGTATTGAAAATAAAATGTGACCGTTTCAAATGATCATTATGTAAAACAGATGTGAAAAATTGGTGATAATTTGAGTGCTTACAGTCATATTCAATCGTAAAACTAAAGCTCGTCTTCCATCTGACATTGGTTGACTGTAAAAGTTAAAGTTTTTCAATCGTTCCATGGGTGAAACGCCACGTTCAACAACTAAAACAATACGCGCCCACTGTCGCTGCCATTCATTACGTGTTTCAGCGATTTTTTGATATGTATTACCCATCATAGCAATTAACATGTTTACCAACAATACGGCCACAATCACCATGAATACAACGAATAAAATTTTTCCCTCCATTTCGTGATTCGTTCGTTCCATTGTGCCAAAGTAATCACCAAAATTTGTGAGCGACATCAAGAACATGGCCACAATTGATTCCATTGGTGATGGCACCGGATTTGATTCCGCATCGTCACCAACATCTGGCGTTGTTGGATTATCAAACGAAAGAAAGATGATGTAGTATGCTTGAGCAAAACCCATTACAAACACCACATAAATCGACACAAATCGAATCAAATCTCCCATTACCATACGATAAATCATCACAACGAAAGGTCCAACCGATTTGAATCCTCTGTAAAATATAAACCACAAATATGAGCTTCAATTCATTTGAATGTTTTTTTTTAATTCATGATGATGTACCTGCAAAAGAATAGAAAATAGGGTGCCGTTGTCAGCATGATCATAACGCAAACATGATCTTCAAGTTCGATTAGGCAAAATATTCGTAATGGAACGATAGTCATCATTAGGCAACAAGAAAAGAGAAACATGACTCGAGATGGGGCAGTCATCTGAAAAATTTCAAATATTGTTTTAGTTCTTCAATACTAAAAAAAGTCCAAAATAAAAACGAAATAATTAAGAAAATTCTGTTGTTTGTGCTAGTTTTCTTACCAAATTTTCGATAAACATGTGATATCCTAAAAATTTCATTTCGCGCAATGCCGCAGCAATATACAAAAATGCACCAGTCAATTGTATTATTTCGGTAACAATTCGAACTTTATCCATATCGGAATCAATATTGAGCAACGGACATTCCGTAAATGAACTCCACCAGGTCGTTTCATTTAAATGGTCCGTTTTATTGTACCAAAAAGGATCACCTATGGAAATTGCATTTTTACATTTAAGTTTTTTAGTTTATTCAATTTTTCTAAAGGAAAATTCAATTTGTACAGATTAACGTATCATGTGCAATATTATTAAGAATTAGTTCATCTGATTAAACAAACGTTTTTTTAGATTGTTTTGTATCGATGATATAGTTTGTAATTGATAACGACAAGATTGTCATTCAAGTTATATTATGAAAGTATTTCAGAATCGGTTAACGATTTGATAAGTTTGTTTGCTCAATTTTCCAGTGACGGAATTTATTATCACTAAATAAAATAAGTCTCTGTCGCAAGCTCTGTCGTCTAGCGAAACGGAAAATCCATGCCAACCATATTGATGCATAGTCCGAGATAAGAACAGAGACGTTGAAAAATTTTCGGAATTTTTCAAATGATCAAAGTTCAAGGCAACATAATGAAGTGCATGCAATGAATGCGAAATAGTAATAAATAGCAGGGAAAACCACAAAATCACATGAATAATAGATTTTCTTTTTTTAAATGGATTAAATGCATTGGTATGTACGTGATTTGGAGAATTATGAACGTGATTTGGCAAGATCGATAGAATCAATCAATATTCACAATTAAGTTTAATTAATTGAATTAACACACGTTACACTCTCAATCAGATACCGTGATTAATTTTAGTGTTTCAGCTAAATTTAATTTTGGCATAAATAAATAACCGACAACGTTTTAATTTTCAGTATCACCATTTAAAAAGATTACTTCAATCCGAATAATCATTGCAGTTTCGATTGCCATTTTGGCTGTATTTTCGATGCTAAGCATGGTAGATGCAGAATGCTGTCCAACCGATTACGTAAGACGGTGTAATGATGGAAGGATTCATGAGGGAAGATTTTGTGGCAAAGGACCGTGTAATATCTTTGGTTGTAACTGCGATGGTGGCTGCTTTTAAGTGCAAACATTGTAATAAAAAAGATCAGGTTTTTTTTCATGAATCCATCTGATTCATTTTTTCCTGATGTTATTATATTGAGCCGCACATTAACCAACTAATTAATGCGGTTGTCAGTTAAGCCATGTAATTTACATTAAAACCATAAATACGTATATGATGTAAAAGTACCAAAAATTACTTTTTATGTGCCAAAAATATGCTTAAAATTGAAAAAATTACAATCAAGCTTAGGGATCTTCCAATTTTTAACTTGAGAATGTTCTGAACTGGTACAATCTTTACCAATGCTTTTGACATAAATACTTGAGAATATGTTCATCAATTATTGTAAGAAATACACGCGAACAATGATTTTTTTTCAGATGACTTCTCCTTCATGACTAATGTAAGTAACAAAGCAAATCATTTCTCACATACACATCAATCGAGGAAAGTATAACAACGAGTGCACCTATTTAAAATAGATAAAAGTAGCAAGCTTTTCTTTTCCATTGCAAAACTTACCATTTTCCTTAATATGTGTTAGTGGCATTGATATGGCTGACGAAATACTATTGTTCATAAATATAAATGATGAAATGTTGTAATCTAAATTCGTTGCTTGTGTGTCGTTAAATAACTGTCGATTGGTAACGTTAAGTACATTCGAAATAAGAACGGTTTGATTGTGATTATAGTACAGGTGTTGGTGTAACGTATCGTTTGAATTTTTATTTACAGCGTTGACTTTATTGTCATGTTTACTATTTGAATTTACGTTTGTATCGTCATTATTATCATCATCAGCATCATCATCGGCATCGGGACCGGGTCGTAGTAAAAAACTAATAAGCGAAATTAAAAAATACGACGTAAAGAGATAAAATTGACGATAAAATCTCGATTTAACGAATGTATTCCATTTGGTTTTGAGTAAATCGATAAGAATGCCATCGAGAAGTTCAAGATGTTCGTCCTTATCACCAAAAACCACTAAATTCAATGCCGAATCTTTACTTATGTGTCCCGTTACACAATCGATCGTATCTATTTGTGGCAATGGATATGCGGCACACGTTATACTCCCTAATTGCCAATAAATTTCACGTTCAATGTTCATTATGTGGAAGAAAATTTCAACACGTCCCAATTTAGCGGCCAACGTTAATGGCGTCAAATTCAATTGATTTCGCACCGCAAGCGATGAACCAACTTCATAGGCCATATCGAATGTTTCCAATTTTTCATAAATCACTAGCATATGCAGCACGGTATTTCCGTTGGTGTCTTGTGCATCGGGACTATTAATAAACAATATATATAAAAATAAGTTAGTTAATAGTCTCTTTTAATCAGTTGAACCTGTTTATCAATTTAAAACAGCAAAAAATGAACAGACATAAAAAATAAAAATAAAACACTTACTCAGCACCACGAGCCAGTACTAAGCGATAACATTCCTCTTGTCCCAAACAAGCGGCAAAACTAAGCGGATATTCACCCCAATATACATAACCATCGTAATTTGTAAATGAATTTACATCGACCCACTCATGTTCGATATTATCGGTTCGTGACGCCTTTTGATCTTCAGGTGACATAAATGTTCCGCAACAACGTTCATTCACATTTGCACCAGCATCCAATAAATATTTCACCATTGCTGGATCTTCATTTACAATCGCTATATGAAGTGTATTCTCGCCTTTGTTCACCGTGTGTGTGTGATTGTGATTTATAGTTGTCAATGAAATCGAAAGTGTATTATTTGATTATTAGTGATAAATGACAGGTAGATAAGTAATTGGCAATTGTGCATTCTGCAATTTGTTAACAATCGTAACAAAAATAGATGATGAAGTCATATTTTGTATGATGACTTCTTTCATTATCATGTAAATATTAACAAATTCAACAAAATCAAACGTAACGAGTCTATTTATAGTTAAATTGATTGAATAAATATTGTGAAAAATAAATATAATACCATAGTATTCATCCGACATGTAAATGTCATTGATGAGTTTTGGATAGAATTTTAACAGTCTCTTGGCCAAATCGGCATGTAATGATGTGGCATTCAGTAAGCATAGATGAAATATTGATTCACCAACTGCACCGCGTTTCTTCAAATCCCAGCACACTTCACGATATCCCGATGGATTCATCAGATATTCACTCTCTTTGACATGCGGTAAGTGTTGATCAATATCGAACTCTTCGTCTGGATTCTCCATGGTTCGAATTTCGGGCAATTGTTTGTGCCGTGGACGCTCACAATTTCGCATCATTACAATTTTTGATATAGGAATATATCTACCAGCTCCTTTATTATACAAAAATGGTTCGACCTATCGTAAAATGAATAATAATATTTGAAAAAATGGAACTCCGCCATTCCCCATTTTCATATCATACTTTTGTTTTGATGGCATGATCAATTTCAGCGTATTGTTTGTTTTGGCAAGCACGTTTCATCATGTCAACAAGAAGTCCGCCACCTTTTAAATTAACCAATTTGTACAGTGGTTGCGTTGATACGCCAGCCTGTTTTTTAACACCACTGGTTACATTACTCTCCGTATTTCCCATATTGTCGTATAATTATTGTATACACATTTTTATTTTCGTACAATTGAATTCGTTCATAATTAACACATGCATTTTCTATCCCTTTAAAACCAAGCAATTTTTTCCACTTTTAACTTTATCATTATTTCTAAAAACAAAACAAAAACGAGTGAACTTCCTATGTGTCCGTTTATTGGGGAATCTCCTATTCGTTGAAATGTAATAGTTCACTCCAACAATTTTGAAAGGAAATCACCATTTTTACACACAGAGAGTGATAGACAGAGAAGCCACAAAATAAATAAACACAATATTCAATTTTTTGGCAGTCTTTTGGAATTTTATAAATTTCAATTACTTCCAAATTGAATGACACACATTGTTTTTTTTTTTCTCAATCAACCCGCTCACACATATGTCACGAAATGTGTCTCTTGATTATGGTGATACACTACACACTTTGTGATTTGGTTGTTTGATTTGTTTCTTTTTTTGTATGTGGATTCTTTTTGCATTGTTTCCTTTTTATTTCGCTTTTATTCAATTCAATTTCAAATATTCACCCAAAAAAAAATGTTTGCCATTCCGTGCCACTTATCTTGTGTGTAGTAGTACGTATGCGTGTACAATTGTTTCTAAATCGTGTACATTTTACACTTAACGGCCATTTATTGATCAAACATTAACACAATTTTTTGGTTATGGTATAATGCGTTGGAATTATCGATTTAAATGCCTTCGTTTACCCCATTCGATTTGAGCAATATGAATTTTTGAATTTGTTTAATTACACCGGATAGGGTGTGTTAAGTTAATTGGTCACAATTTAATGGATTGTTTTATTCAATTCGGTTTTGTTTTGATGAAAATGAGTTGATAAAAATAAGTATGTGTGTGATCGTTGAAAAATGTTTGCCGTTGTGATGATGACTATTTCGTTGGTTGCTGCTTGTGTAAGTTGAGTTCAGGTGAAAATTGGGTGTACTGTTAATCTATGCCTCAATACACGCACACTAATTAATTGCCAAACTTTAAAAGCATAAAATGTTTGCTACACAGTTTACTTCCCCATTCAACCAAATCAAACGATTTGATTGGTCTATCTATATACACATTCCATGGAACAAAAACACTCTAAAGCTTAAAGAAAATACTTGGATATCATTTATTTATGTAACTTCTTAATTCACATTTTAACAAATCATTTTTTTTACGGTTGCTAGTTAATGAACCAGACTTTTTTATCTATTTTCCAAATTCGATGAACAAACAAACGGTGCTCGAAATACCTCTTTAATGCAACAAAATTTAAACGATAATTTTCAATTAAGTATAAAATACGTGAAAAATGTATGGATTTCGAGTGATTTTAATTTGCATTTGCATCGGGATGTCTTTCAAGAATCATTGCGACACCTTGACCACCGGCAGCACAAGCTGCAATCAAACCCAATTGACCATTTTCGCGAACAAGTCGATTTGCCTGAAAGAAAAATTGAATTATCAGACACATTGAAGAAAACTATTATTTTTTTCTTTTTTGAAAAAGATTTCCGATCTTTGCTTACCGTGTGCATGGCTAAACGAACTCCAGTAGCAGCGAATGGATGACCAATTGAAAGTGAACCACCCCAGTTATTCCATTTGCTCAAATCTGGTTGTCCTACTTTACCATCTAAGCCAATGTAATTTTTGCAGAACCAATCCGAATCCAATGCTTTCAAATTTGCACAAATTTGACCCTACAAAATCAAAGGAGTTTTTAGCGTGACCAAAATAGAAATCAAAATGACATATCACTTATAAAGTAAAAGAGAGAAAGAACTCGAAAACGAACTTACAGCGAAAGCTTCATGAATTTCCCATGTGTCGATGTCGTTGAGTTTGAGACCTGCTTTCTTCAAAATTTTTGGAATGCCATAAGCTGGACCCAACAAAAGCTCATCAAATGGATCTTGTGAAACATATGTAAAATCACGAATGTATGCTTTCGGTTTGAAACCAAGCTCCTTGGCCTTGGCTTCTGACATAATCAGACAAGCCGAAGCTCCATCGGTCTGTGAAATGAAAAGAACATATACGCTATAGTAACTCATCAATTTTTCTATACTTTTCTTATTATGATTTAAATGTCAACTATTGAATAATTTACCAAATATGATGAATTAGCTGCTGTGATGGTTCCGTATGGTTTAACAAAAGCTGGTTTTAGTTTGGCAAGTTGTTCTTTGGTCGAAACACGAATACCGTTGTCTTTATCAACAGTTTTATCAACGCCAGACACTTTAAACGGAACCAAATCGGTCAAATAGCCATTTTGTTGGGCTTGATAGGCAAGTGTGTGTGAACGAAGCGCGTAGTCGTCTTGTTCTTGTCGTGATACCTTGAAAGCAGCGGCCAAACGATCGGCTGAATGACCCATTGTTTCACCAGATGAAAATTCAGCCACAGCTGGCAACTTAAGACAGACACATAAATTATTAAAACAAAACAAAAAACTGATGTGAAATCAATTTCTGCTTACTTCAGGAATAAGGAAATTTGGTCGAATTGAAGCCAAGAGTGATAAACGTTGTACGACTGATTTGGCTTTGTTTGCTCTCAACATGAGTGATCGCATTTTACGACTGTGTCTGATTGGAACGTCTGACATAAATTCAGCACCACCAGCCACGATTATATCATATGTTCCTGTGGCAATTAAACCAACGCCGGTTGTAATAGCTTGATTTGCACTGATGCACGCCATGGTTACGGTGTGTGCTGGTGTTTTATTGCTAAAACCGGCTGCCAATGCAGCTTCTCGTCCAATATTCGATGTTTTCACTTCTTGAATTACAGTTCCATAAACAATATAATCAATGAGCTCCTTATCAATTTTCGTCTTTCGCAAAAGCGAGCTAAATGTTTATAGCGATGAAATAAATCAATATCAGAATCTTCTTTTTTTGAAAAAAAAAATTAATTGAAAAAGAGGCTGGAAAATGTCAAATTAGTTGTGCTTACATCAAAGATTGTCTGGCCAAATCATGTGGCATCAATTTTGAATAATCGGTGAATGATTGCAGAAAAGGTGTACGAACTCCGTCAACCAAAACGATATTTTTGCCCGTTTTATCTGGTAGCGTCTTCTTTTGACATGCTGCACTTGATGTTGATAAACATTGAGCGGCTGTAATCACAACAAAAATAAATCAACTGATCTTCAAATCGCTAATAGAAACGAATAATTATGTAAAATAAATCGTGAACTCCGCACCGCATTATTTTTTTCTCTTTTCATAAAAATAAAAACAGAAAAAAATAAGAATCAAAACAAGAGAAGTGTTTTGACTTTGAATTTGCGTGAGCGCGACAGTTTGATCGGAAAGAAGAAAAAAATCACTTGGATTTTGGACTTTGAACGTCACTTTCGCATTGCATTGAGCAACCGTCAAGCTCAATCGTCTGTGCATGATACTAATATCATTTTTCAATTCGGGACAATTGCGAATTTATTTCATTTTTTATGTTGACCTATTGATTTTGGAGATATCTCATTAACTTACCATAACGATTAAAATTTGTGTTTAACGCCGGTACACGGGCAATTTTCGTAAAATTCGATAGATATGCAGCCATTGCGTTCTAATAAAGGTTACAAAAAAAAAGCAAAACAACAATGACAGCGATTTTGATTCGAAATTTTTTCTGATTTCGTTAAACTACAATCGGCGCAAACTGTTCAGAAATTTAAGCGATTTTTTTAATTGAAAATGACACAAATTGAATGAATAAATTAAAAACAATAAACTGAGATTGAACGAATGAAATTGTTGATTCGATCTGCACTACAGCCCGACCTGTAAATATTCGACGAGTGCTTTGCGACTGTGAAAACGAAATGTTGTCGGCACCGATAATCGTGTGTAAGTGTATATTGCGACGTCACTGCTCTCTTTTCCATACGGTATGTGAAAAAGAGACAAATCAATGGCGATTTGACAGTTCGAATTTTCTTATTTGACAGAATTCATGCAACATTTTTTTCGAAACATCTTTTTCGCTATGAATGCTTTTTCAACAATTTTATTTATTTTTTTATTTATTTTCATTTGAAAAGAACATTACAATCGAAATTAACTAATATGGATTTTAATTTACAATAAACCACTCTCTTCATTCATCATCGTCCTTCTTTCTACCGAATGGATCAGACCAAACTCGCATATCTGAAAATTCGTACACAAAATCAAACAAAATTAATATCAATTTCTAGATGAGAACATTTTCCACTACTGCAAAGTGATTAAAAAAAGACGGAAATGCTTTACATACTTCCAGGTTGGACATCTTCTTGTATGATATTTGCTCGAGTCTTTTTTTGAATTTCATCTGAAAAAAGAAAAGAAATATTTTTATTGAAAAAAAAAATGACATTGTGAAATACAAGTTTCACATCTATTCTTATGTTAATTCCACAATAGGTTGCCGTTTGTCACTTACTATATTTTTTGCTATTTAAATATGGTTCAATAAATATTGGAATTAATGCGACTAAAACTGTCCCCGCTATTCCGATGAATAGAAAATTGGATGACCAAAACTTTCTCTTCGGTCGGATCATTTTGTTAAAACTTTTTATTATTCCGCTTAAAAGTCCTGATTGAGAATTTTATTTCTCCAAAAATCGTTCTGTTTATAGATAGAACACCTTGACACCTTGAAAGAAAAACACTTGATTTGCCGAATGTTATGATGGGCCAATTGATTGAAACTGAATTCCAATGACATAAAAAACCTCATATTTATGATAAAAGATGGCACTAGTTTCATCAATATGCTGTATATAAAATGCTGATTATATAATTTATATATATAAAATGTTCGCGATTTGCTTGTGTATTTAAACAACTTCGGTTGATTAGATTAAATTAACTGTGAAAAAAAAGGAGAAAAAAAAAATAGAAAAATGGACAGATAGTATTTCGAATCGCTTAGCGATTCAATTTATTGTTACAATTGTCTTAAATTATAAATACAGACAATATTACTGTCACAATGGTATTCGTTTTTATTTAATTTAAAAGTTGCTTTTTACAGATTCTGTGGTTTTCCAAGTGAAATATGTTTCAATGGTTGATTGGGCAAAATGTTTCGTACTTCTTCGTTGAATTTTGGATTTGCATAGATATCGGCGGTAAGTTCATGAAGTCCAATTTCTTTGTCAACACGAGATTTCTTGGCGGCTTCATCGACTTCATTTTTGATACGTACTTCAAGAGCCTGAAAGATAATAATAATCAAAAATAAATTAAACATGAAAAAAAAAAAACACAATTCAAAAGACAGAGTCTCGGATCGGATTCAATAATCTATACCTTGATTTCTTCTGGAGTGACTAGTTCGGCGTTCAAAATCTTTTCGCGGAATGATGTGATTGGGTCACGTGTTTGTCGTACTTCTTGGATTTCTTCACGTGTACGATAGCTGGTACCTGGATCGGACATTGAATGACCGCTATAACGATATGTGGCTGTTTCCAAAACAATTGGCCCTTTGCCCGAATCGCAATAGTCGATTGCGAATTTGGATGCTTCACGCACAGCAACCACATCCATACCATCAACCCAGATGCCAGGCACATAGTCACCACGCTTGTAATAGTCTACACTGGCTGATGCACGTTCAGCGCTTGTTCCCATACCATATCCTACGAAACAATTAGAAACAAATTAAAAATATTGAACTAAAAAAAATGTGCCAAAGAAAATAAGCACCCACCGTTATTTTCGCAAACGAAGATACATGGAACGTTCCATAATTTGGCCATGTTATAAACTTCGAAGATTTGACCTTGATTGGCGGCACCATCACCGTATAATGAAAAGCAAACGGCCTTTTTATTTTTATATTTGGCTTCAAATGCAATTCCAACACCGAGTGGAACTTGAGCACCAACGATTCCATTGCCACCGTAGAAATTTTTGCTGTACATATGCATAGAGCCACCTTTACCGCGTGAACAACCACCACCGCGGCCAGTCAATTCGGAAAGAACACCTTGCACTGGAACGCCCATCAAGTATGTCCATCCATGGCATCGATAAGCTGTAATTACACTATCATCTGGTCGCATAGCGGCGATCATACCAACGGCACATGCTTCCTGTCCCGAATACAAATGACAGAAACCACGAACCACTTTATCTTTGTACAATGCACCGGCCGATGTTTCGATTCGCCGAATGTAGAACATATGTTCGTAATATTTGAGTGCTTCTTCTTTTGTGATAACAGCGGTTGTTGGTGGGCCATTATCCAAGAGATGCAACTTAAAGTCACGCGTTGTAAACGTTGCTTCAGTTGCATAACCATTGGACGGCACATTTTTGCACTACATTTCAAATTTAAATTTAAAAAAAAAATCCAGTATTATCATGTAATTTTCTCAAAAAAAATTAATTGATCAGTAAAAACTCAAAAAATGGGGTGACTTAGTTTTGGTTGAGAAAATCGATACAAGAATTGTTCTTATTAGTCAATGGATTGTGTTTCGAATTTGGATTGGTATTGTAAAGGGGAAAAAGAGTGATGCAAAAACCATTCAATGACCTCTATTGCATTTTTGTATGTTATCTATGAAAATGTTTGATCATGAAAAAGTCACACACACACAAGTTCATGATAACACACATACTTGACATGACTGAGACAAAACACGTAAGGTGAATTGATAAGAGTAACGTGATCATTGCGAATATTCTGTGAATTCCAGTGTCGTTCCAGATTTGATCGAAGAAAGTCATTTTAAGGTTAACTTTCATCTTATCACCGCAAAAAAAAACACTAAAAAAAAGAGTGAACGACAGAAACAGAAAACACACACACACGGAACATGCTTCAAACTTTTCACACCTTTGTGGAATTGCCATTAGTTTTGGTGCCACGAAATAAGCGTCCGAGCCTGGCCAGGCTCCACATTGATACCATCGCAAAAATCGGCGGCAAACCAAACGCAATTCACATGAGATCAGGTTTTTTCTTTCGCTTTTTAAATTACACACTCGCGTATCAACGTCGTCAAACAACACACAATGCCCTACACTGTGTACTATGTTTGAGCTGTCAGTTCGACAAATGCGTGTTGTTATGCAATCAACTATCGCGCGAGTCGGCTGGAAAACGATGAACGAATTTCTTCTTTGACATTACCGATATTTTTTTTATCCATGCATGTCAACATCGAACTGTGTTCGTGCATAAATTTTGTATCACAATCTTTTCTTTTCGTCATTGATTCAAATAGAGAAAAAAACTCATTAATTCTTTGCACTGTCACCACATGTTTATATCAGATAAAAGTTCAATGGAATCAAATTTCGTTCGATGTTGGAAATAATCAACTTACAGCTGTTAGCGAGCGACGAGCCAATTTTTTCAAACAATTTACAAACATATTTGTTGGGATATATTGTGCGTCTCAAACCGTCACAAGAATTCCGAAGAAGAGCACAAATAAAACTGAACTCAATGATCAAAAATAATTCTCGTACATCAACGAGATTATATTTGTAAGTTGTCTGTTGCTCACACACGAATACGTGAGACGACGACGTAACATATCATGCATTTGTATATCATGACCACACAGACAATTTCTGTCATACATTTGACATTTGACATCAATTCCATTCACATTCTTCGTTTGACATTTGCATGATAGCGACGTGCAACGTCTTTTCCACGAAACACCATTCAAATTTATATTTTTAAAACACAAAAGGAAATTTGAACATTTCTTTCCAAACGACTTGATTTATTTAATTTCATATATGACTAAGATGTATTGTTAAATTTCTTGAAACGAAAGAAGAAATCGAATTAGAATTTTCCACATTTCACATTATTAGTCACTTTTACTCATTTCAAATTTGTTTAGTCTTTTGTAGGCCAATCCAGTTGAAAATATATGATCCGAACAAAAATCGAAATCAAAGTTAGAATGTAACCCACATCATTTCTTTTAAAGCGATACCATTCTAAAACAATAAAGATGAGAAGCTGGTACCTAGTAATTTGAAACTCTATGTTAAACAATCGCCTTCCATAGATCCTTTGACCTTTCTTTTTAACAAGAAAATCGAGAGAAATATTCATTCCAGTTAGAAGAAAGATTTGAAGTTTCCAAAATCGTCTAACATTCATGACCGGACTTAAAGAAACTTTTGTTCGAAACGTCATTTGGCCTGAAAAATGTGCCAAAATATGAAAATAACTAAAAAATATAAAAAAATTATCGAAAACCATATGACAAATTTGATTAAATCGGTACATCATATACATACTACATGACAATTTAAAGCACGCATGAGTCGATACTCGTCAAACTAATGGTTCTTATCTAACATCAAAAAAGATTTTTCTTCATTTGAGAATTTTTTTTTGTATTGAAATGTATGCGATTGATGATTTTTCAAAGAATGGCGACACATCATGTCAATTGCACAGTCGAAATAAATCAATGTGGTTTTTTAATAATGTGCATTAGCAATGTGGTTAAGACGATTCTTTTCAGTTTCGATATAAATGAGCATTGTAATATGCGCAGCTCGCGAAATGTCTCGAATTCACATATACACTCACATACAGTTGCACTCAATCGCAGTGAATGTGGAGGAGCACAAACACTTTCTTACATTTGTTGACGTATATTTCTGTTGTGTTGATTGTGCGTATTTAGGTATAATTTGGTGATAGTATGGGTGTGTATGTGCGCGCGGAATGTGTGTGTTTGTGTTTTTTTTTATTATGGAAATGAACAATACATGGAAACAGTACGACAAGTACGCAACAGAAACTTGGTGTGTGTCTTATATTTTTGCATTCGATAGCCTAGTTCTTGGATATAAGCGCGAAAAATAGACACTGTAAGAACTGCTTTCGAAGAGAATAAAATTTAAAAAAAAAAAAAAAAAATTGGGGATCGTGTTGAATTTTTGGGTTGTATCTTGATAACGACGAAGTGAAATATCAGGTGTAAAAGAAATATCAACAATTAGAGGCAAGTCAAAATGATTTTAATTTTGAATTTGATTGTTTTTACATTTGGTGTGTGTGTGTGTATGTGAAAATAATTCCGATTTGATTTATGTTTCAATGCTTCCGGGAAAATGAGGAAGAGTTTATTTTGCCCCCTCAACAACAACAACAACCACAAAAATACAAGTGTTTTTTAATCAATTGTAATCATTTTGATTCGTTTTTTTTTCGTACGATATTGTTTTATCATTTCCAATGACCGTTGCGAAGCAAGTCATTGGTTTATCGATTGGAAAAATGTTTTATCACTTCCAACTGACTGTTTTCAATTGATAAGTGAGTCAAGAGCTCGGTGGGTAACAATTGCCACAATTACGTCAAAATGTTTCCGTTGCTCGTCGATTGAAATCGAATCACAAGCCATTGATTTTCGCTCGAATATATATAAGTAATATATTTATATACAAGTCGCTTTTCTCGGGCTTCACTCGTTTTCTATTTTCAAACAGATAAATACTTTTCACATTTCTTGGATGGCATTTCTGTAATACATAAGAGGAAAGGGTTGCACGTTTTCTATATCTGGATAAGCGTTTTAAATTTAAACAATTTACGTCACATTCATAAAACATATATGTTTTTTGCTGTTTCGTGTTTCAGAAAAAAAAAAGAGATTTACTTAATAATTGTGGTTTTTTATTCTTTTGTGTGTGTGTGCGTGTGTTTCGAGAAGATAAAACAAAGCCGAAGAGAAAGAATGAGATGAAAACGAATTGAAAAAAAAGAGAATCAGAAATGTATTTGTGGCTGTTGGTGATAGTTTAGCTTTTCGTTTTGTTGGTGTTAATGTTGTTATCTTGTAAGATTTTGCAGTGCATGAATGAGTGTGAGAGAGTTGGAGTGCTCATAATTAACCAAGATGTGTGTATTTTCTTCAAGCATATGAAATCATTCATCTAGTAAATAAATTTAAAACAACAACATATTTTTTTTTCACTCCCTCGATACTGTTCGTGTTCATTTATATTCAATTGAATATATCAATAAGGTTACAACTGGTATTGAATTAATTTACGATAATAAGATAAATAAGAAATTATTCGACGAAAATCGCGCCAAGTCCTTAATTCGTCAATAGCAATAAATTTTGAGCAACCGATAAAAAAGGTGCTTTGCAGTGTTTGAATGAAATAATTAGTGAACAGAAGGTTTTTAAAATGGAATTTCTCATGTTTTCATCATCAAACTTCCAACCAATCAAAAAATATCAACAAAATATCATTCAAAAGAAAAGTGAAGCAAGTGGTTTGATGCATACAATAGCATCCAATAAAGTAATATGCGTTAGAGACAAAGGCAAATATTGAAGGTTTAATAATTTGTTCGCAATTTTGTTTCTGTTTGTCGATTCTTTCTGTTTCCCTCTCACGATGACACGTTTTATTTTATTTAATATTCTCTTTTGTTTTGTTGTTTTTTTTTTCTGTTCCGTTGTGTTGATTCTATTGGTGTTGTTGTTGCTGTCATCGTCTATTGTTGTTGTTTATGTTCATTGTTTGTCGTTCGGTAGCTGGTCCACTTGCATGAAATCATGATCGCATTTGGAAATAGGTGTGGCGACGATGTTTTAAATACGGTTTGCCCATACCTTTTGTCTCCGTCTCGATCGCATTCGTCGTCTGTATTTTGAAGTCAACAATATTTGCATGTGTGACTCTCACAAATCGACCTACCGATCTCTCTTGCATATGTAATTGTAAAACAAACATGACAGTTTTACCGAAATCTAGAATCCAAATATAAAGACGATAATAAAGAAAACCTTCGACCTATTCTTCATTTGGCTCTATTATTACATTATTATTAACTGTTTTTTTAAATTTTTATTCAATTTAAATTGTTTGCCTTTTACCAATTGCAGCTGATCGAGTGTTTTACCATTGATTGCGACAAATTAACGTGTTTACAATAAACCAAGAAGTACCACACACACTCATTCAACATGAAATACGACTTATCTGTTTTTCAAGAGCCGCGCGGGGTCATGCGAATATTTCAATTTGTAAGTAACAATTGGAACGCACACTCAAGATATTATTTTGTTTAATTGAGCGTCAAACACCCGAATTCCTTGTACACATATACATATCAATTGGAAAATACTATGTTAAAATTACATTTTGTAAATCTTACGTCGTCAACAACGATGAGATCACTATAGCAATAGCAAAGCTAGTTTAACATTCTATTCGATTGAAACAAACTTATGGCATTGTGTGTATTCAGAATGCAAAAGAAAACAAGTAAACAAGGCAAATGAAATTTATTTTTATTCGTTGATTAATTTATCGTGAGTTTTGGTTTTATCACCACTGGGCTCAAAAGTCAAAAATTCTCTTTTACGATAGAGTCATAGATGATTAATAAAACACTGTTGAGTCATAATTATTAATTAACGTATTATTTGAATAAAAATGTCATTTGTTGAATTTAATCGTTGCGGCGAAAGAGTAGCTCTTATTTTTCTCCAAATAATACTGCAACATAAAGTTTTTTATGAATAGTTTATTTGTTGTATTACAACAAATAAACCGTGTGAAAAAAACTTCATGTTGCAGTATTATGTGGAGAAAAATAAGAGCTACTGTTTCGCCGCAACGATTCAATTCGATGGTTTAGAACATGCTTAATTATACATGAAGTATATCGATGCACTGTGTGTCAAAGGGACCAATGTTAAGGGACCATTTTTTTCGTCCATCCTTTTGTCCGATTGATTTAAAACTGAAAAGCATCTTGCAAAAATGTCTAACTAGAATGATGTGGACGGATAAAATGTGATCCCCCCTTTGACACCTTTGGCGGCGTGAGCGCTTATCTATCACTTAATCCAACTAATTTTTATTGAAATGTTTGCTTTAAAAAATTTGTAGATATTCGCGATCTGTGCTTTGTATACAACGTTAAATTTTGAGGTGACCGTGACTGTAGTGGAAAAGGCTCACTCAAATTCTTCCACTTTCGATTATCCATTCCGATTTGGGCAAGAAGTTTGCTTAAAGAGCGATAATACCACCAAATTGGGTTTGTCAGCCGATGTTTCTAGTGATGCACGATTTTTCGTTGCAACCAGTGTCTTATCTGTTCTATATTGCATATTTATTACGGCCGTGTATACGTTCATCGATGAAATTTATACATCGAAACCAGAAGTTCCACTGGCGGTAAGTGCATTACATGAACAAAACAAGAAAATATTGGTATGAAAAACAAATCTATTTGATTGCAGGATTTTATGTTGACAACAATTTTGGCAATATTTTGGTTGTCGGGGTCGGCTGCATGGGCAAATGGTGCTAGTGCATTAAAACAAGTTACAAATCCGACTCTAATTAAAGCACAATGTCCGAATCTAATTCAAGTAGTGACGTCTAGCTTTTCACGTCTGAATATATCTCTGCTATTTGGTTTCTTGAATTTCTTCTTATGGGCATCGGACCTATGGTTTTTGTACAAAGAAACCTATTGGTTCAAGGAGCGTCAACCAAATGTTGATGGTGCTGGCGGTAGTAATTTGAATGCGCCTAATATTTAAACTGCCATTTGGCTGAAATTGGAAGAACGTACTAGATAGACGTAATTGACGTAATTCATCTCAGCAAACAACAATCATCAAACAAACTAAACATATATTATGCACACAAAATGCCATGTCAACGGCTCAACGAATGACAGGAACAAACTGATCCATTGATAAAAGAGCTCACCATCACACAACTACACAAAATCACCGACACACACACACACACACACTGAGAGAGAGGGAGAGAGAGGGAGAGAGAGTTAAAGGAATTCATATCAAAAGAGAAGACATTCCAGTGAGATAACAATCGCTCGGAACGCGTCATTGTTAGCAAAAACGCATCATGGACAAAAAAAAAATGTCTATCTAATGGAATTACAAAGAAAATATAGGATAATAATACGACGCATGTACAAGTGCATATCACGAAGAACAAAATTTAAACAACATTTGAAACAAGAATAAAATAATAAAAATGTGGTGGACACAATCAAAATACTTACCAATATATTTCTTATAAGAGTGTATTTCGTACTATTCTTCCCGTTTAATTTTGTATTATTATTTTTGTTTTCTCAATTGAGAGAATGCATTTTGATCGTTCATGTCATGTTCTGAATTTTTTGCAGTGAACAATTTACAATTTTACAACATTATTTTAGTGAATTAACATTTGAAATTAATTTTTGTTTCAATCAAACACTTGAACAGAAATTCATGAGCACATAAGAATGCCAATTTATTTGTCATTCGATCAATATGTAAATCGTTGTAAATATCGTTTGATTTTGAAACAAAAACAAGTCATAGCTATATATGTACGTAAAGTTTACATTTTACTGTCAATTAGACATTTTATTTGAGTTTTTTGGATAAATAATCCAAATTTTTGAATATTTTCTTTTTCATTTGTGAGAAATGTGGTTTTGTTTCTAATCAACTTTATTTCATATTACTTACTAATTTTTTTACTAAAATGATCAATCAAAAAAGAAATCTTTTTTTTTTCCAAATTTCAATCTGAGTGTTGACCAAAACTGAAAATTGATGTATTTCTTAGCAAAAGCGTAGTTGTTATATGAGAAGCTGCTTTCGAGACTATATATACATGTTATTAGAGTAATTTCCATCATTATTTTTCTGACTTAAATAGCAACACAACCAATACTGTAACAAAGAACAATAATGTGTTTTCTAAATATCAAGAAGTTCTAGACTTGGAACAAACATTTACTAGCAACTACAATCAATTCCAAAATTACAAAAGAGAAATTTCAAATTATGTATATTCGACCGAAAGCTAACGAATATAGTACCTTTTTGCGAGGAAGCAAGTGAATGAATATGCCTCTACAAATATGAAATATAAAACAAGTATAATGTAAATTTATGTATGTAATGCAATGTTGTAATGCGTACTGTAGAAAAATTATAGATAAAAAAAATGCTGCAAAAAAAGAAACAGTTGAAATAAAAAAAAATCAACTGTTGTGTGCTCAGTTCTCGAATGCAGGAAGAGGATTTGCTCTAATTTCGATATACGCTCTATGACTTAATAAAAATGTAAAAAAGAAACTCATATACACACAAACACGAACATTTCGTTCGAATAACCTGAAACCGGGCATTTAACCGGGTGAACATCGGGATTCATTTAATTTTGAGCTGAATAAACACAATCAAAAAACAAAACAATTGCATACTATGCTTTAATATCATACTTAACGATGATCCACCGAATTCACTCGAATTTCAAGATGAACATGAAACACACAACACCCCCCAGCCAAAACGACACAAATAAATATATAGATATATATTTAAAATGATCAAAAAAGAAGAGATAAAACTATCAAGTTTTCCAAGAATACAAATTTTAATGAACATTTTCAAAATGTTTTTCTGCTAGGTATATATTTTTGTGGTGTATTGCGAATCATAGCAATTAGACTTTAAGAATGTATCAATAAAAAAAGATGAGTGGAAAATGGAAAGAAAATAAAAAATACAAAAATTATTTAAAAATAATTTCAAAAATACAAAAATAAAGAGACCTAGAGAATTAAACAGATTGACTTTCTTTTGTTCGTGCTGTTTTTTTTTTCTTCGGTCAACGAGATTTTTATTCGCAAATTTTATATACGATCGTATTAAAAACTCGAGTTTTCAAATGAAGATGAATGCTGTTCAATGAATGTGAGTGTATCTTAAAACTTAAAAGATGATCTTCGTCGAATACTTACCTATTTGTTTCTTTACAAAATACATCTCCTTTTTTTCAGTAAATAAATACAAAAAAATAATAATGAAAAACAACATTTGATTTGCGTGTGATTTTTTGTGTCTTTTTTATTTGTGTTTTTAGAATTTACTTTTTAATGCTATAACTTAATAAATATACTTTGGTTTTTTCTAAAATAAATAAATTGTAATTATGAAAATAGATCCTATGCAGAAATGTCGATCTGTGTGATTCGATTCTCATTTTTCTGTTAATTTTTTTTTTTTTGCCTTTTCTTTCTTTTTTTTATATTTTTTTATTATTATTATTCTCTGACTTAACGATGATTCGCAAAATATACTCTGGCGAATGGCTTAACAAAAATAATGATTGTTCTGAATGTTCTGGTTCTTTTTGTCCAAAAACGAAGAAAGAAAACAACGAAAATGTGTATGTGTGTGTTTTTTCAAATTGCGGTGGATATTTCAAAGTGGACAGAGATACGAAATTGCACTAATCGAATCGAGGCATTTACTATACAATATAAAGATTTATATATAAATAATGATCGAACGTGTTGCACATTACTGCCTCGATGTAACAAGGTCCGTTCCAACAAATCTCGGATGAAATGTTGTCTCAGTCTTTGTGCTCATTTAAAAAAGAAAAACGACGAATTGCGTTACCATCGTTGCAACGATAACGTGTGCGATGCAAGTTTTGTACGACCTGAATTATATATTTAAAAAGAACAAAAAAAAATCGTTCAAATGAGAAGGTTCGAGATTTTGAATATAAGTGACTGATATCAAATTATACAGTAAAATTGCAATTCAGTTAAGTCATCGCGCATACGGCAGAGATTCGAACGAGCTAATTGGTAAATGAAATAAATTAATATTGATAGCATAAAAATTGCAATAAATTGCCTTAAAGATGTAATCTTTCTTCTTTATCGTCTTCATCTTTTCAATATTTCATTTAAATTATTTGAATTTGTTTGGTTGTCTCTTTCTCATACAAATAGTTTGATACATTTTAAAATCTATGTATACTTTGATATGAAAATATGTGATTTTTTTTTTATTTATTTCATTTTCTTATCCTTTTTTCTCTCTTATATTATGTAATAGAGTTAAACGTAGTTCTATATAATAATAGTTATATAATAAATTGGTTCTTGAACGATGCGATTTGTTCTATTTATTTGTTTGTTTTTGTTAATGAATAAAACATTAAGCATTTTGTGTGCCTGTTTCCTTGATACCCTCTGTCATGACAGAGCATTAAAAATTATTTAACGTGCTTCTCGTAAAAAAAGGCAACGCGAAAGTGTTAAGTCTTCGTTCATCTGATGGAGTTTGATAAAAAGAAACAAAAAAAAGATAAAATAAAATAGTGTTCAGGTAAGTTCTGTTTTGTGTATTTCAAAAATATTCTTGAAATTGTAGTCTCTTGAGTCGGTGTCCATGATTACTTTCTATTTAAATATCAATTTTACTTTTATTTTCCTTCTCTTTTCATTCAATAAAAAATAACATGAATGTGAATTCGTTTGCTCTTAACTTTTCGACGCCATTCATTCATTTGATCGCTATCTAAATATTCACTTCGAAATGATCCGATTGAATTGCCAATAATTAATAAAAGTTAATAAATTACATTATCATTTAAACATTATTCATAGAAATAGGTCCATTAAAGCTAGATTCATAAGTTAGGATTTTGTGAGTGTATGTTTTCTATTCTCATTTTTTTTTTTTTTTTTTTTTTTTGAAAAATTATTATTTTTTCTCGTTTTTTGTTCTTGTGTGACGTGAGCACGCTTCTGTTTAATTCTTCAATCTTTTCACTTTCTCTTCTGAATGCTCAACTCCCAATTCAATTCCTTATGCGTTTTTTTATTCGTGTTTAGACATTTTACGACGCATCCCCTCTTTCTCTGTCTCTGTCTCTCTCTTTTTATATGCTAACTATGTTCCCATAATTTTGTACTTTTTCTTCTAAATTGAGAAAAACCAATAGTGCAAAAGAAAAATTTATTAGAAAAGTTTATCATGATTTTGTTAATTTGATTAAAAAAATTGTCTAGATTTTCGTTTTTTGATCAACATCTCTACAAGAACAAAAAAACCAACAAATTCTTTTTTTTAACTAAGAGCAAAAATTACACGGGATACAAATTCGAAATTAAAACAAAATTGTTCACAAGCAAATAATCTTTATTGAACTTCAGACCAGATGCTATCTGACTTTACTTTTTGGTTCAGCATATTTACATCAATGAAATTTAAATAGCGATCACTTAAAAAATTTGCAACTGTCATATAAGTACTGGTTTGAAGTAAAATAAAAAGTAAATCGCTTCCAAATATTAATTCGTTGGGCATTCAAAGATTTAAAAGAAAATTCAATTTCATGTGAAAAGTTTTATCCGGTGGACAATCTCAATTCTTCGGTTGGATCATTTTCTACACCATTTTTTGTTTTCTTTTATTTATTGTTTTGATCTAGATTCTACGACTACTACTTTAGAATACACAAATTTTTCGGATATCATTGAAGTCTTGCCTCTTGTAATGCGGCTCCGCCAGCACCCTGATATGGTGATAAACCATGCAATCCGTTGGCCGCTGCAACAGCTGCCATTCCTGCTGTTTGTGGTAAAGTTGTATACGTATATGGTGCCATATAATTTGCAGCAGCTCCTAGAATTTTTGAAAAGAAAAATTGTTATTCACACGCTCCAAGTTATCATAACCAATAAAATAACTTTTGAAAAAACAGAAACTTCCATTCATCAAAATTTCAAGCACACGTAATTGAATTGATAAAAAAACATACCTGCGGCGGCGGCCGCGGCGCTCGAGTATGGATATGCCTCATAACCAGCATATTGTCCGGGATAAGGTGCAGCAGCAGCAGCTGCAACATTTTGCTTAAAACAAAAACAAAAAAGTGAAATAAGTTTGATTTAAAATTTTAAAAAATCTCTTCGAAGAGTGACATACTTGATATTCATAGAATTGATTGGTTGCTGCAGCAATAGCGGCTGCATGTGACAATTGCGTGGCTTGAATTGGGACCAAACCAGCCGCCGATGCAGTTGTGGCTGCTCCTAGATACGGCGATCCATAGACATATGATTGTGGTACACTGCACAAAGAAAGGAAAAGAATCGATTTCAATAAAATTGGTGGCTAGGATTCGTTTTAAACCGTTTTTTTTAGTGGTAGCAAAAAAAATGAACTCAGAAAAAAGAAAACGCCAGAAAATAAAACCGAAAATAAAAACATAATATTGTGTCCGTCAATTTGTAATGAGAATCTCCCCCCTCGATATCATTCAACCTTGACCAATTGCGTTTTGCAAAAACAAAAACAAAATTTTGCCCATTCATTTCCGATACATTCGTTAACAATGTGTTTGAAAGGAATTTTTCATTGCAAATTGATGAACAAATTTAAAGATCAAATTTCGCTTTCGAGTAAAACTCTTCATTCTTGTAGCAACACACGAATTATTGTGATTCATATGTTTTTGTTGTTGTCGAGTCGTAACAAGTACGTCAATGCCGTATCAAAATAGCCATCGAATCATATTAAATTCGTACGTATTTGCCACAAAAAAGAAGTGTCTGCCATTTGGTCGTCTTTTCCGATTTTTATTTCAAATTAAAAAAAAAATGGAAATCAAACTTTGAAACCAGGAAAACCATATATTAGGTGCTTTTAAAATAAGTTCAAAATCAAATCGTTTGTTTTTTATATTTATATAAAGAAAACTCTCAACTCATTGATATTAAAAACATGAATAAAAAAAATTAAAGAAAAAAACGAACGCTTCAAATACACAGAAAAAAAAATGAAAAATAAAAAAGAAAGAAAAATAAAACAAAACATCTTTACAATTAAAAACAATTAATTTAAACGAAACACAACAAAATCATAAAAAAAATATTGAGAAATCGTCAAGTTTCTTTTTTTCGGTTCAAATTTTCATAAAGTCTTGGAAATTTATGTTTTGTTTATTTCAGAGATAGAGATAAGATGACACCATCTCATTCACATCCAATCGGTGCATAATAAATTCAACAAAATTTACGATAACAACGAAATAATCAACGTCGAATGTTTACTGCTTTCTTTACTTTAAAAGCAATTTAAGAGAAATGTCTATAAAAAAAAAGAGGCTGCCGCTCGTAAATATCATCATTTGCTTTTCAAGGATTCTTTTTTAAGTGTGTCGACCGACCAGATGATGAAGAAATTTGATGCTTTACCATTTTCGCATGATCAGTGATATCCTTGGGGCGCGATCAATGGCAAATGGACACAAACGAGTATAGGAAATACCACCAAAACCCATTGAATTGCTTCAATTTATGTTTGCCAAAAATCGAATTAACATGCAGCCAACACAACTCAAAAACCGAATCGGACGATGTATCGTGAAAAATGCAATCGCGGAACTTGGCGATCGATCGAAAATTACGAAAACAAATCATCAATTAATAATGGATAATAAGAAAATATTTGAAAATAGTTTTGTCACCATTGAAAATGCATATAAAATGCATAGCTGTCAGAATTGTATTTGCAATCGAAATCTGTGTGAAATGAGAAGAAAAGAGATTGATGATCATCATAAGACTGTTGCAGTAAGATTTGTACTGACGACATTTTCACGACTGACTAAATTCTAAAAATACGTTTATGCGCGCGCAACACACAGACACATGTAGAAATAAAACATTACAGATGTGATGCAAATTGAGTGTATAACATTGTATAAAGATTTCATCGATGATGTCGCCTCATATATTTATAAAGTGGAAATAGATTTGGGATTAAGTTTTTCAAAAATTAAAATCGAATTGCATGAAGAGCTCTGTGTTTCTATCGAATATGATTGGAATTGTGGATGGAAAGCTTTTGAGTATCTGCATTTTTTTTTTTTCAATTAAAAAAATACATTTTCTCACCGAAGAGAATGAAAAAGAATCGAAAGAATGACATGAGCATTTCAATTCTGTATGGTGTTTGGCCACAAAATCAAAGATGTGATCGTTAATGTTTCGGCCGTTCCGTCGGGTGTGCTATTTTAGGAAATGTCGCCCGTGTTTCAATCTCAATAGAGAGCACACACATCTATATGCAGCAGCTTTAATTTGATTGGCGTAATTTTGAGCTCGTGCCCATTGAATAAAGTGCCCATAACATGTTTATAATCAAATGCATGTGGACAAATCAAATTAAGCTTTATGGTCATCACATTGTGAAAACGATAAATTGCGACGAATCATCGTCATCCTGTGAAAATGTTGCCCCATTAGTTCCGTGATTGACATCGAATTGTTAACACATAGTAACTAAAAGTCGATGAATCGAAAGAAAAAAAAAGTAGTAAAGAAAAGAACATTTCGATGAGCGGTTTTTTTCGTTGGCATTTGATCTGCATGTATGTACGATGTACACACTTTAAGTCCATTGTCTTTTTCATTCTCTTGCCGTCTGTGTGCGCTGAGAAATGAATCGTAATAATAATGTGTTTTAGTTCAATGTTGTTTAACGTCAATAATATAACGCTAATGACAATGACAGAACGGATATGGTCCTAACTCTAATTTCAAAACTATAACAGACACGTACACACAATTAGCCACTTCAAAATTCACAACAACAAATATGTATCACACGTAAATAATTAAATATTTATGTGTTCGCTTCCATTTTCTGTTGTTCGACGTTTGACAAGGGGATTATTATTATTAATATGTACGCGCGCTATGCTTGTTCGCTTTTTTTGTGCCCACTTAACGTGTGTGTGTGATTGTGCAGTATGTACTCAGAGAAAGACGAATGAAAAAAAAAGAATAATAAAATAAACATTCGACCATTGAGCAAAACTAAAATAAATATAAAAAAGAATGTTCACCACGAACAGCACAACTAGTTGTAGCTGTTGCTGTAGTAATAATAATAAATAGCTTTGCCAACAACAAAAACATTAAGCGGGTGTCGCGTAAGTTCGTCTCGCCTTAGCTCGTCCCGATGCTTGCCTCACCAAATGAAAATTAACGAGATTATTGAAAATGGAAATTATCGAGAGAACAAAAAACGTAGACAGAAAATGAGAGAGATAGAAAAGTAAATACATTTGAAATAAAAATAAATCGGTTTGTGGTGAGCGCGCTTTGCATATGTCACCCTTAATGGTCATTCGCACTCCACAATTGACACACAAAAAGATAGAAAGAACGAATGAAAATGGTGGCCAAGTCGATGGACATGAAAATAATGTGGCAAACAAACATTTGAAACCTTGCTCGATCATGAACATCAATTATTAATAAATACACTACTAACGAGTAACGGTGTATGACAACAATCAGCCCAATAAAATATGCATTTATATAGAAAATTTGAGCGTATTTTCTTGTTTAAACTCATTTTGGATGACCATGAGTGGTGCAGTTGGTTTCACGTGATATCGGTGGAAATCAGTGCCTATTCCTTTAAATTGATTTGTGTCGCGTGATCATCGAGGGTGGCGACGGTGAGAATGGGAATGAAAGCTTCAATGAAAATGATCTATGGCCTCTTTTCCATTTTTCCATTTTTTTCGACCGAATCTTTAAACGGCATCCGTATCGATATAAAAGGATATGTTACATTGATAAGCCTAGGTTATCACACGGCCGGTCAAAGTATATCACAAATGATGTCTTCCAAATATTGTAAATACTCAGTGTCGATGATTTTGGTATCTTCATATCTGTTGAAGTGACGACAATTGATGTTCCAACCGAAGACAAACCGATTCAACTTAATCAGCACAATACTGCCTTCGACGATGAGCTTTTATCGGTGTTTTCATTCTTTTATCCATTCGCTCGATTTGTGTGTCCATTATTATTATTTATTTCGTGTCGCATATATAGTAATGGCAATTCAATTATGTGTCGTGTGTTATGCACGTTCAATTACATCGATACAAATGGTGATTTTGATCGGTGATTGTGTGCAAGCATGGGATAAAATGACCAAACACACACATATATATTTTAATGCACACGAAAAAAAATGAATATTACATGCATGCCCATTACATCGTTTGCATGATACTAATCATTTGAGCGTACTTTCATTTTATATTGGGTCGACCATAATGGCTCACATTGAATTCATTTTTACGAATGACCGTCCCATATTCGAAATTATCTATATTCATGTGCCAGTTCGATATAAAAAAATTGGCTGTCTTTCTTTACCGCTCTCTCTCTCTCTCTCTCTCTCTCTCTCTCTCTCTCTCTCATACACATAATGATAAATAACGCTTATAACCTTGACAGAGTCTGATCAATATCAAATATCCTTTCATCATATACTTTGTTGATTAGTTCATATTAAATTATGATTGCGGGCATAACATTTCAGGTGAAACCTCATCGAAATGTGTTGAATAAATTTTCATCTGATTCTACGGTATTGAGTTTATTGAAGAGAAAAACTGAAGTCCATAAAATGACTTTGGTGAAAATTAGAACCACAATGTGTCACGCTTTCAAGATGCTTGAATTTATCGAGATGTGTATATCGACAAATTAGCGATCAAATTATGTCTTTTTGTAAGGTTGTTGTTGATGCTGGTGTTTTTTTTTTTAATATTGCACACATTAATGTGGAATAATTTAGATTAGATTTAGCACAAAAGAAAAAAAAAACAATAAACACAAAGAGTCCCAAAAACAAAACACGTTATGGAAATATGTTTGATGTTTGGAAAAGTAAGAACAAAAACAATGTAAGAATAAAATTTAATAAATTCCATTTTTCACGCCACAGCAAAAAACGAATAGTTATAACACTATACCAATGGCATCCAAATCACACGAAATCTCCCCCGTTTCAATTTCGAAACACAAGTCTTCCGATAGTATATAACAATACCGAAAACCACAAAACAAAAGCAAATTGAAACAAGGAATTTTTTTTTGAAATAAAACGTCACAATTTGTTGCAAATTAAAAACCATTTGTGAAAACAAATCAAACACTCAACATTTTTAAAACCAAATTTGTTGTTTGTTGATATGTTGGATAAAAGCAAAACGACACAGACACAATTGCACTCGAAAAACAAACGAACAAAGAAAAACGGATTCCATTGGATTCCTCTTTGTTTAATTAATTGTTGGTGTTGTTGGAAATGCGTAAAACTAAATTACATGTTCAAATGTGTGTGCCAATCGCTGCCTTATAAATTTGAATCGAACTTTGAATTTTTGGATAAATGGCATGAACTGAAACGAAGGAAAAAGATTTTAATTAAGTGGTTTGTTGTCTGTTTCAAATGCACTGCACTCCATCTCATTTCGGTTTGAACAGAACATATACACAACCACACGCACGCACAGAGTAAAAAGAATCGCACTCGATAAAAAAAAATGTAAAATGCCAGAAGACCTTTTTGATTGACGATTTTACGCTTTGAATTAGTTCTATGTAAATGCACAAAATACACACACACACAGATAGAGAGACATCAAATTGCTTTGGAAATTAAAAGTGTTAAAACAAAACAAAAGAATACAACAACAAAAGAAAATAAGAAAAATAAAAATTCAAAAAAAAATGTTTCTAAACTTCTTTGTAAAACAATGATTTGATTTAGAGATGTTTCAGGTTCATGATCAAGTTCGATCCAAACCATCCCGTCAATCGATTCATTGTGATATCGGCACTTTCTGTTTTGCATTTTCAAACTCATTATTAATAATATGTGTGCTTGAAAAATAAAACCCAGTTCTTATCACAACAAAATTCAAACAGAATTCAAATAATAACAAAAAAAAAATCATAATAATAAATGAATAAAAATTAAAAATAAAACAAAAACGAACGAAAAATAAAAACCAAAGCAAAAATCAAACAGAATTACGTGTCAAGAGTTGTTCGTACATAAAGTTTGCATCGTGTGTGATGTGCTTGCATTTGATATTCGAGCGACCCGAGAATTTCTTCGGAAATCATTGGTTAGTGTGTTTTTTTTTTTGCTTAGTTTCGGTCGCGCAAATGTCTGATCATGAGAACACGCAACTTCGAAGGATCTTATTTACTTCGATTGCAGACCTGATTTTATCACTTTGTCACGATATTTTTTTTTTTCACTCAATCAAAAGAACATTTTTGTGTTCAGGTTTTTACATTTATTGCGATTTGTCTGAAATTACAACAAACAAAACATTGATCAATTTATTTCACATCTTTTCTGATTCTTCATTTCTAATTGAGATTCAAACAAACAACTCTCTCTCTTTACTTGTTGATAATTGTTTTGTTCACGGAATTTATTGATGTTTCTTTCATCAAACGGGAAAAGAGGGTAAAAATTAATTAATTTCGCATAATTGGACGGGATTGCATTCATTCTTCTCACATCATTCACATCTTTTATTGGACGCCAAACTATTTAGTGAACAAAATATATCATCTTTTGAATCTCAATCAGTTTAAATGTATGTCGTATTTTTCCTTCTTTTGATCCTTCAAGAAAGATTTAATTCATATTAATCGGTAGCTTTGAAACGGAAATAGTTAGACAAAAAAACGTATGAAGATATGCAAAGGTGATAATTTTGAAATAAAATGAGAAAATTGCATCAAACGTGCACACATTCGATGTTCAAACATTTCGGCGATCGAATGCAATAAATTGTAGATATTTGATGGCATATGTCCAATGCCCAAGTAGTTTCGAGAAAAATGTGTCTTTTTCGTCTTCTTCTCTTTTTTTTTGTTTGTTAATTCAGCTGCTGTTCGAAAGACAGGGAAAGTTGATTAAGAAGATGTTTAGCACAATTCGGTGTATGCTATTTGGTTTGATCAATATGTATTATGTGCGTTATGTCATTTTTTTGGATCATAAGATGTGGGAGTTTCAAATACAAAAATATCGCTTCATAAAATGCTTTCGTGTCAATTTATATCCAGTAGATTAATACATAATATATATATAAATGATATAAATATAAAATGAGATTTATCTGTTAATAGACTAAGGTGAATATGGCTTTGATACACCAATACACAAAATATATTGCATAGACTTACCCAAATTGATTTTGAAGAACAGGATAAGCGCCTGCACCGATTCCGGCGGCCGATGCAGCAGCAAATGGAAAACCTTAAAGGTAGAGAAAGAAAAGATAAATATTAGACAATTGTCGGTGGCCGTATTAATAGAATACAAAGGGGATTTTCTTTATAAAATTCGATGAACGCGACCGTAATTGATAATAACTTCAATAATCCCAAAGGTTCCTCGTTATTTCAGTTGATGATTCGAAATCACTTGATAACCAACAAAAGTTCAATAAAACAAAACAAAAGAGCGCACGCACTATAATCATCAGTGTAAATACCATTAAATTTAAGTCAAGAGAAACAACAACAAAAATAAAGACTGAAAGAATCGGCGGGGGGAAATGAAAGCAATCAAATGGGCTAATGTTATGCGATGGCTAATTATATTTAAGTAAACTAAAATATGAACACCACCACGAGGTCGGTATCAATATCAAAGATAATATATGCTATATAATAATCTAGATTTAAATATGCAGATGTTGATTTTGAATTAGATCAATAGTTAAGAACAAAACTAATTTGCACATTTTTCAGATGTTTTCATGAATTTTTTTTTTTTTTTTTTGGTTTTACATTCGTCATTTCGACGGCAACGCGGTCAATTCATTTGATTTATTTACGTCAATGTGTATCATTTTTCCTTGATCAAATCGATGCGTAAGCGCGTGCCATCCGAGAAAAAAAATGAAACGATTTTCACACTCATTGCTACATTTTTCGTCTCTTTCTCGCTAATGTCCAATGTGGTCAATGATTGTTTTTTTATTTTACGTCCAACGTTTTGAATACGATTATATATAAATTTTTTATATTTTAATTTGATTGCACGGTGTGGTATCTGCCGGTGACATCAATTTTCAATATAACACGCTACAGACATCAAAAGCAATTGCACATACAACGACATCCACACCAATTTTTTTCTCTATTAACAAAACCAATTATTATATTGTTTCATTTAGATTCACCTGATACACATAATGTTTTTTATTCATGCATTTTCGGAACGGGCGTCAATAGCACAAATGAATGCGAGATGGATGATAGTGGACACCGAAAAAGACTTTCATTCAAATGTGTGTGTATATCCATATTAACACAATGTACAGGTAATAAAAGCGCTCACAAGATATGTCAGCGTAAATTTCCGACCGGAAACTAGTGCGGAAACGAAATAAATGGCTATAGTTTGGTGCGTTTTACGCAAACATGAGTTTAAACCATATCGAAAAAATAATGAGCCAGAAAAAAAATAAACAATGCAAAATCATATTGAAAACGGTACGAACGTACAAATTTATGCTTGCCCGCTATAGCTTGTTCGCGCTCCCAATTCACCAGTGTGTGTGTGTGTGTTCACAACCCATGGACGGGGGCTTTTTTGTGAGTGGCCAACTGCAGTGATCCATGGAGAATGCAGTTGAGTGTTCGGCTTTTGTGTGTGTGTGTTCTTTTCAAGAATAATCACAACAGGTTCCCAATGCATGTGATGGAATTTAGCATTTTTTTTTTGAAATAAATATTTAGCTCTTGTCAATTGTGTACCAAATCGAAATCATGAACAAATTCAACGCAATAAATTTAAACGATGCATGAACATGTTGATTCATGCGGCGAATTTTTGAATAATTGGAATTTTGCTATGAATTTTGTTATTTGTACCGTGTTTGTGTGTGCGTGCGTACGATTTGGGTGACGTTTTTTTTTTCACTTCTCTCGTTCTCATTTTTTTGTGTGCTCGATTCAATGAAGGAATCAAAATGTGAACTTGTCATCGGCGGTTTGCACACACGACCATTCAAACATTGCGTAGGGTTTATTGCCGCTGTAATTTAAATGATCTATTTTTAAATAACATTCGAGCATATACACATCGTCTATATCCATGTGTGAGAGTTTTCTGAACGATCTCTGTCTTTGCATGGGCCATTGTTCGCCGTACCCAAATATATAGAGAGTACCAAATAAAAAAAAAAGGAAAATAGAAGAAACCAAAACGAAGATCGTTTTTCATTTTAGAGCTTCTTTCAGAGATTGACACTTAAACAGGATACTATATCGAAACCATTGTTAGATATAACGATATAATTGACACGCTTGCATTGATGATATTCATTTTTGGCTCTCACACACATTATCTCTCTTTTTTCTTTGAATTTTCTCTGTCGCGCGAAGCATTCATTTCAGTCAACAAAAAAAAACGTAGCATTTTCAGGTCGTCATTCGTATGCAAACACTAATATAGTATCTGATTCATTTTCACGTTTTGATTTTTTTTTTTTGGATGTGCTGTTTGTTAAATTGGTGTCGCTGCTCGCAAAGTGTTCGACTATATTTTCCTTCTGTCTTTTTTCTTCTCTTTGTAACATTCTCTGTCGGGTGTTATGTGTTCGGTTTGCGATGAATTTGTTATTTTTGTCAACTCAGTACCGCAGTGCGCACGAGATGTGTGTATTTTTGATGATGAGGATTTGAGGAAAAATGATCACTTGCGTTCATAAATCAGACGAAGAATGAAAATATCTTGCACACGCAACGATATTCGCTTTGTCTCTCATTTGGAAATAAACATTTCGAAATGATCGTACTTAAGCGTTCGTTTTGGTTTTGTTGTGTCTCCTATGCCACATTTACCAAAATCGTGTATTTTTCTTTTATTTCTGTATATTTTCGATTAGGAAAAACGAGAAATGAGCATTTCTGTTTTTGTTTTTGTCGAGCTCAGAAATTTTACTTGACAGTCATATTGGACATGGTACCGTGTGTGATGAGAGTCAACTTTTCGTTAGGTGACAGACAAAGAACCACAAAAACTAACAAAATGGAAAAAAAAGACGTAAAAATTGACGCCTTTTCCCTCTAGCATTTGCTAAAAATAGTCGACAAACAGCCATTTCATTTCCACACAGTGATTGTGCGTATATTTATAGCCTCATTTTAATATGGTGACAGGGATTAAGTAGGTTTTTTTTTTCATTTGTGTTTCTCTGATATGCATTGAAAATTGGTTAATCTCTCTGTTTCGCATTCGATGATGCGCAAAAAATCAACGGTTTCTCTGTTTCAAGCAGTTTTTTTACACTCAACCTTTTTATATCTCCATTAATTGGCAACTGCGTTTGTTTTTACTACTTTTGTTTTCATATGAATGTTTCAACATGCGCCCCCAGCCCGGAAAAAAGACGCAAGGAGCACAAATCATTTTATTTTTATTTTTCAAAAGTGCGTTGACAGAGATATCGGGGAGAATTTTTGAATTAAATTTTTTTTTATTAGCTTAGAATATAAATAATCACTTACCGGGTGTGATATTTCCACGTGGTTTTGCTCCTAATATTGCAAGATTAACATTTGCTTTACGTCCATCAATGATTGGATTTGGATCTTTGCAGGCACGTTCAGCACTCGCCCGATTACCCATTATCACCTTTTAAAATTGGCATCGAAAATAATAGTTTTTATTTCATATACGACTCAGTTATTTCTTTGGTTCATGAATTGATGCGCAAAAATGTGTTGTACTTACAAAGCCATAGCCTCTGCTTTTGTTTGTTTGTCGGTCAGTGATCACAACAGCTTCTTCGATATCGCCATAAATTGAAAAATGTTCCCTAAGACTTTTGTCGGTGGTGTGATATGGTAGACCGCCAACAAATAATTTTGTCCAGGTTGTGTCTTTTTGTTGACTGGCCACAGAGGCCGGTGTGGTTGGCGATACGATACCATTGCCCTGTGTCACTGATGCCATTGCTGTGCTAGCTGTTGTGTCAAATTTTATTTTTATTTTATTTTTGTTTTCGTTTCGACCAAATCGATGATGCTATTTATTTTGAATATTACCTGGTATAACACTATCGTAAGATGCACGTACGATAACATTTGCAGCTAATGCTGCATCTGTGTCTGTTGCTCCTGGCATCAACATGATTTAGAAATTATTTCCTTATGGTTTCCGATGAAACTAAAAAAATTCACAATAAAAACCCTTATCGGTTCCTTTCCCTTTTTGACGGACTTTTTCTTACTTCTCTTATATCACTCTTTTCGAACACACTAGTACTTTTAATCGATTAGCACATACAATTCTGTATCATTTCGAATATTTTTTATACTTTTCTGTTTATCAAATCTTTTTATTTAATACAGACACAGACTGATTTAGGACGCTATTATGGATGGCATCAACATTCAAATATCACAAATTCTTGTTTATTTCTCCTTTTCCTTTCGGTGAGCAGTAAATCTTTATTTCCACAAATAAGTACGTATTACAATTCTATTCAGCATCTGAAAATAACAAAAATACGAAATTTAATAGGTTTTTTTTCTGCAATTAAAAATTCATTTGATCAAAAGAATGAAAAGAAAAATGGTTGGCAGCAAGTGAAGGAGTTAAGTGAACATTTTGACAAATTTACGAACAAATATATTAAGCAGTAAATTATCAATATTTCAAAGAACTTAAAATTGAAACGATTATGAGGTAAAAAAAGGATCGCCATTACTTCTAAAATGTAAATATACAATTTCTGCCTTTTTCGTAGCATTTCTTTGACTTTCTTCCACAAAGATCACAATTTGAAATTTAAAACAACAAAAAAAACGATCAGAAACTCGATATTTCATGTGAACGGTATATTTTCGTGTTCGAAGCGTTTATTTATTTATCTCAAGATCATATTTTCTTTTAACTCCGTAAATCTTCGGTCTATTTGCCATAAATTCATAAACTAATTAGACGTTATAGTTGTTAACAATGTGAATTTCCGTTGTTGTAATCCGTTAGATGATGTTTTTTTTATCCCTGAAGAAAGTCGGTTTTTTTGTATGTGATCTATACGAATCGAAGTAAAAAATTGAGATAGAAGAAAAGTAGTTTTTTGTGTATGTGTTCAATAAGCGTAGAAATTGTTCACAGGGGAAACATAGTTCACAGCTGTACGATCCTGTTTTTTTTTCTGCAACATTTGGTGCCTACAAAAATACAGAAAAGTGTTTGCTGTTGCAGTGTACATATATGTATGTGTGCGTGTATTTCACTGTTATATTCAATGCACACCACTACATTGATCCAAAATGTGATGCAAGCTGAAAAGGTTAATGACATTTTATTCGGTCCGCACGGCTGCTCTCTCTCTCTCTTTCTCTCTCTCTTGAATAAAGTATATACTTTCAAATACAATGAGATTTGGTTCAAGCAAGGATCAGTGCGTTGTTGGTGCGTGTATGAGCTTGAAATAAGGCTGCATTTTCAATGAAACGAAACACACGCAAAGAGAATAACAACAAAAACAGGAGTAGCAGTAGCAACAGCGGCGGCAATAGCAGACTCCGCGATTGCACACGACTTGAGTTCGAGAACGAAGTTGTTGTTGTTGCTAATGTTTTTTTTTTCAACCCCCTGTACCGTTTACTTTTCCTCATTCTTGTTAGTTGTGCTCTGGCTTTGTTATGTTTTTTCGGCGACTCATACAAATGCATAATATTAATAAGATTCGATAAACAGCTCTGGTAACGCATTTTCATCTCTCCATCCACGAAACACATGCCTCCATTAAACGGGAAGGAAAATATGCTGGGAAGATCGTTCGATGTATTGCGCGTATTTTCAGTTCGGTACTGCGTTTCGTCTAATGTTTTTGTATTGAATGTTTGGTGACTATGACCGCAGCTGCTGTTGCTGTTGCAGCTACACACTCTTTATGTGTAATACATACAATTGTCTATGGTTTTTAGTCGTGCGTGCGAGAGGCATTTGTGTTTATCTGTTGAGTTGCTTTTGTATGTTTCCCATTTGCACGCACAAAATCGAAGGGATTACTCACATTGAGACTAGAGCACATGAACTTACATAGATACTTGCATACACACAAACACTCACATACACACATACCGATGACATTCGTAGGGGTTTATTGAAACTAATATTATTATTTTTTCATTTCGTTCGATTCGGACGCAAAGTAAGCATACATCCGACTGTAATTTTGTTTATTGTGTTTCTCAAAAATTGGGGTGACTCGGTGAAAATTGATCATGCAATATGAAACAGTGAGTGTGTATGTTTATTGTATGTATGTGTATGCTTCAAGCAATATATATTGTGAGTAAACCGAATCACTATAATATGAGGCGCACTTTTACAAAAACATACAATGCAACTTCAAAGATGTGTGTATTGTCGTTTATATAGGCATGTATTTTACAACAGTAAATCGCATATATCGCTTAAAAAATATCCAAAATGGGAGCCATTGAGACACACACATCGATTCTTTTGTTATAGGCCATGCTTTTCTTTTTAATTTTAAAAGCCCGCTGCTGCCATTTCCAACAATAACACGGAAAGTATGTTTCTTTTTTTTCTCGTACCGAAGGAAACAAAATTAAATGTAATACACGTTTACAACTCTGGAGCTTCATATGCGATGATATCCTTTCGACCGCTATCATATTAAAATATTTCCTGTTACACTGACATGGTGAATGAAAACAGTTGAACAAATATCGATTCCACGATACATAACAGTGCAACGGAGAGTATACATTTCATTGTCATTCGTTGAAATCGATCAATCTTTCGATCCAAAAAAAGTATCGGATTTGGTTAAATGTCGGCAATCAGTTTCTTTTGCGTTACAAAACCAAGAGAGAACAAACAAATACAGTCTAGGGGTCGTTCTGGTCATTTCAGATCGTCAAATTCTGGTTTCCCTATTTTGATTTCTTTATAAATCGATTTATTTGAAAAAATTGACAATTTGAACTTGCACACATCGTTCGTCTGGAAAAAGGGCCTTCTTCGCCGTTTTTCATTCAGTTAAAACATCTTTATTTTAGTCTTTGCACTATGTCATAAAGCCAAAAAAAAAAAATTCAATCATTTTTGTTGTTGTTGTTGCATTTGATCAGTATCGTATGCCATCATGCATGCAGTCAGCCGTTCGACGATATTATTATTTAATGTCATATTGTACACAGACTATTGAACCTTTTTTGTGTATGTTTTTGGCCATTCTCTTTACCGTTGGTTGTTTTTTTTTCTTCTCTTCTCAATTTTTGTGTTGAACAAAAGCAAAACAATCAAAAGGTGAATCGAATATGTGTGTGTGTTTATAATGCGTTTCTTTTTCTCTCTCTGGTCTGTTCGTTTACACTTTGGATACTTTATTGCTTCTGCTGTTTCGTGCGCGTAAATCGTTGTTGAAAATTCGATAAATTGTAAAAATCATGAACAGAACGTCTCTCCGCTCGAATGGCTCGTGCTTTGTTCTTGCTATTTTGTTGTAACACACTGTTGTTATGTTATTATGATTAGGTTGAGAGTGAGCGAGCCAGCGATCATTTGACGATAGCGAGGTAGAATGAGAAAAACGATATGGAAACAATAAATGGGGGATGGGTAATATTCGATGACTGAACATGTGTCCGTGTTTTAATTTATTTGCCATTATCGAAACACTACATATACATTTTGTTTTATGCATATGCATCATCGTTGAGCATCTCTTCTTTTAAGAGACACATTAGAAACCATTACATATTTTGTTGATTTTATTTTTCGATTTGTGCCTTCTTTTTTTCGTGTGTCGTGTGTGATCTATTCCAAACCGGATTTGAATGTAATGCGCATTTATATTTTGTGCCATTTTTTTTCTCTCGCTCAATTCAACATTTGACTGCTTCGGTAATCGTTTCGATGAGCTTATTTGCATGTATGCCGTTCGCATCTTTTCTCTATTCAATTTGACAATTTGTTATGTTATTATGTATTAAATGCTAAATACTCTCAACAATGAAATCAAATTCATTCAAATCACATATGACGTTGCCAAGCAATTAACAGAAGCAGAATTTATTGATTTTATTGAATGATCGGTATCGAAAGCATTTTTTTTTTTTGGTGAATTAAATTGAAATTTTCAAATCTGTTTTTTTTTTTCGTTGCATCAAGGGATTTGATTGATTTGATGAATTGTTTCATTTCCGGAATGTTTTCTGCTCGGATTTTCGAAGTTTTCCATTTCAATGTTTGCTTGATAACGTGTAAAAATGTGTATAATATTGAAGGATGATATCGTTTAAATGATTTATTCGATCGAATAGTTTTCAGGGAGAAAGAATGAGAAGAAAGGTTAATGGATTCTCTCTTTTTGGCACGGATAGAATTAAAAAATCATGTGTCCAAATGGTGAATTTAGAGCACAGCTAAAAAATGTGGGAAGTATTTACAACGTGTGCACTCTTTGCGGTAATTAAATATGAACATCTTATTAGTTTTCTCTCTCCCTCTTTTCCTCTCTCTCACTCACTCACTCTCGTCACAACCCATAAAAATAAACGGCAAAATGCGCACCGACCAAATGAATAAATCGTGTTTTTTTTTTGTTGGTTCGGTCAAAACTAAAATGACCAGATGTGCCGGATTGTCAAACGTGGTTGGACGGTTTAGATGGTTCTTGTTATGTCATACGCGATTTTTATTTCGACCAAATTATATTTTTTTTTTCCGTGTAGTTTTAGAGAAAAAGAAACCAAAAATGTAATCATACAACCGAAAAAAAGAAGAGAAAAATGGTTCAACCTCTATCCGAAATGAATGGACAATTTCGAAATATGAGTTTATGTTGTATCACGGTCTGACAGTCTACCAGTGTGGGACAAAAAAAATGAAACTTTACAACATAACATAACCACCGTAACGTTATCAACAAAAAAAAAACAGTTTTTTTTACATTTGAAAATGGGCCATTGTTACCGTTATTATTTCCATTTATTTTATTCGGGCAAAATGATGAAATTGACTGTTTGGAATAGGTTCCGTTTCGATAAAGTGTATATGATTCGGGATTTTATTTTCGCGGAAAGTGAAAGTTTAATTAGTGTGCATTACGCGTGGAATACGGTTAGTCGCACGCGATGATAATAAATGTTGTTATTTTTCTTTTCTCTTTGTAAGAATGACTTTCCACATTTTTTTCTCTGTCCCTTTGAACCCTTTACCAATTCATTCGAATTAAGTGATAGAATCATCGATCTTTCTGACACAAAAGTACGGCCGCTCTTTATACTTTTACATAAAATTGTACGCGGTATGTACGTGCTTCTATCCATCGAAAATTGTGCTTTTGTCTTCTCGTATATGCACAACTAATAAACACATTCGACAAAATGAATAGAAAAGTATTACCCCATTATCATTTTTTCCTGTTTCTCATTTGCATTTGATTGCTATTTATTTCGTTCTCGCTCTCAGTGTTCCCTCTTCATGCTCATTACTCTTATTCCAAAGGTACACTTTGCCTCTAAATTTTCGTTTACTTTAGTATTGGCCAGGCTTTGGCGATGGGCTTAAAAACGATTTTTTTTTCACTATGGTTTACGCGTTTTATCTATTTCTATTGCTCACCATCACTCTGTCCCTCTGTGAGTACATAATGTGCATGTCAATTGTACATCTTTTCCAAAATGAAAATATATACATTGCAAGCCGATGCTTCTATTCGAATCCATATCTTCCTTCTTCGTTTTTTTTTAATGATGTGTCGACGCGTTCGCCCCTTTTTCATTCAAATGCTGAAAAACGTGCGTTCGCCCATGCTAAAAACACCAATGTTTCATAACTATCGATTTAAGTATGTATATATGCTATAATGCAACATTCAACAGGACTGTAATGAGTGGACGAAAGAGAGAAAGAGAAAGTGTTCGCAAAAATTTTATAATTTTTTTTTGCATTTGTTTTACTACCGAACGCCGCGTGTGTGTCATCCTTCTTATTTTAAAATAAACACACAAATATGCACGTCACATTTTTACAGCAATCCTTATCTATTCTAATGGCATTGTCTTTGCATTAAGTAATTGTTGGTCAGGTTTGAGTGCACCGTTTTTACATCGATTTTAAACCGCATTCCTATTTCTATACAAATAGAATTCATTTATTTATGATAATTCTACCGTGTGATATACATCTGAATTCCTTTTTGCGATCATAAATTCATTCAGAGCGTAAAAAAATCAATGGACATGATGATTTTATTGTCGATATAATAAAATATCTGTTGAAAAATCAACGGAACTTTTTTTTCGATTTTTTGATGAGATAAATATTTATTTCGATCGAAGTTCAGTGTTTTTGTTTGTGTTTCATTCATGGAATCAGTGTCATTGAATGATTTGCAATATCATTGTTGAATATCGATTCATGACCTTGATTCGATACCCAAAGAATCAAAAGCACTTTGAAAATTGAAATAAAAATAAATTGTTGAATTTCATCAAATTATCAACTATCAAATTTAAGACAACTATCATTTTTGGCCCATATACAAAATGTGTGTCCACTGATTGGTGAGTCTCTTTCTCTCTATCTCTTTGTGTGTGTGTTTCAGCGTGATAGCGGGCTATCTGTGGCAATTTTAGGTAATTGTATGTCTAAAAGCAAGTCAGCAAGCGAATCGTGCCCGCTGTATGTTTAGTTTTTTTTTTTCAGTTGTCATCCAACAATTCTATTCAGTGAATGGAAAGTTGAAATTTCAGCGAATTTTTCTAGCTAGATAGAGAGCAACGAAAAATGACCATATCAAATGGAACGCATATTTATATGGTTTATGAGTTATTTCTGTTGGGCTTTGGTCTCCTTTTCTCTCATCGCACGTCTGTGTGTGTTGTGTAAAGGATAGAAAATCGTTGAATGCTCTCACTGTGTAGACCGTGTATTTAAATCCCAGGTGCAATATGTTAACATGAGCACATAAACGAAATTAATGTATTTTATTCGTTTTGAGCACGACACACGCGGCACACATTTTTATGGAATATAAAAACAGAATAGAACAAAAACTATATACCGAAGAACAAAACCAAAAAAAAAAAAAATGAAGAAAAGAATGAAAATGCAGAGTGGTTGGACATATTTGACAATTTGAATATTTTTTTTTCAGCATTGTTGCTTTTCTGTCAATTGCTTTTGATGGGGTGTTCATCGTGCACACATACTCGCATACGATCGTCCTGACGATTTTAATGAAATTGAAAATACTGAATCCAAATTACGTTTGTACATTATTCTTATCACAATTCATGGATCTTTTTTTGTGTCGATTTTTCCTCGTTTCCCTTGACGAAGCGATAGAGAGAGAGAGAAAAAAAACCTGTGAATATTTCACACATTAATTGCCATCACTGCTACTGCTGCCATTTCCATTCCGATACCGATTAATACCGAAAATTATTACTCGTTTTATATATATATATTTGATAAACAATGGCATGTCCTGAACCAAACATGTCACACATTACATGATTCTATGCGGAATTCTTTTGCTGTCTCAAAGACAAGACGAAATGTATATGGTTGTAAAAACATATTTCACAGCTTTGGCTTTTGTTCACATGTGTTTTATTGGGAAACCAAGAAGAGAACAATATTGTCTCCAGATGGTCACATACATATCTTACTCACACTATGGGTGAGTGACTCAATGCGAATTACTGAACTAAAATTATGATCAACACGGAAGACACATCTCAATTGTGTGTGTATATATTTCAAATTTTGATTTTTGGCCATTAAAATGCTACAATGATATTGCTTTTTGAAGATGCATTTTTCGCATCAATAGAAATGGGTAGACGTATAATATTTTATAGTTCTTCGTTGATTTGATTACAATGGCAAAAACCGATCTTTATTTCTCTGTGTTTTTTTCTCTCTTTTTCAGCTTTGTATGACATATTTCATGCCAATTTTTTTTTTTAAAGAAGGCATTTGGAAACTGAGTCGCGATTCAAAGACGAATGAACACATTTATTCATGAAAGAAAATGGTCTATGTCGGAGACAATGGAAAGATCATGATCATTTTCAATATTTTTGTGTCCGTTGTTGATGAACAAATTTTTAGTTAGTTTGAAGTGTGCGAGCGCATTTGAATTGAATGAAAAATGACAGTCGCTCCAGTACACGAATGTTCATCGTTCTTCTTTTTTTCAGTATTCTTTAACTTTTACGTTTTACCGTTAATTCTTGGCGCGCTGCGCTGTTCAAAATGACAACAATGTATGCGTCATATCATCGTACATCATAAGTTTATTTTTTTGTTTCTTTAGTTGGTTAATTTTTATCATATGTGCTCTGCTTTAGTTTGTTCAAACAGTGTGTGTGTGCTTTTTTTCGTTTCTCGTCTGTGTTTTATAGTGAGACACATAAATAGTGTCTTAGTTGCACATTAAACATTACTGATTTTATGAAATACACACCGAAGACGCAAATAAACAAGAATTAAATGAAAAGACGAAAAAAAAATATTCGTCTTAATTTCTTTTTGTGTTCGGCTGTTTCCCATGTACACTCACTACATTCCCCGGTCTTCTTTTTTTTATTTGGGGAACAAACATGCGTTTATTATTTTATTTGTAATGAACACGTCCATATTTTGCATCTTATACTACTGATTACGGTTCTACTTCATATTTTTGTACAGAGACTTTTGTGAATGTATGTGTGTTTTTTTCGGTAAAATTTTAATTGGTGACATTGGTTACAAGACGTAAAGTGGATTTTTGAGCCAGGTCAAAATATTAAAATTATTTTGCTCTTTGTGAAGTCGAACACGGGCTACTTGACGGCTTTTCAAATGTTTAAAGAAAAATAATGTATTCCCCGTCGACGTAGTTCTTCTTCAAAATCAAATTAATCTTTTTCAAAAGTATGCGTCAAACGTTTTTCGAAATTTCAAGTTCAATTCATCACATCTCTTTTCTCTCTCTCTCTCTCTCTCTCTCTCTCTCTCTCGCGCACATATTCAAATATCATTTTATCTCATCCATCCTCACAAAGTCAAACGAAAGACAGAAAATAAAATAATGATTTGCAAAATTAAATTGTGACATTCAATTAGGTAACATGATAATATGAATTCAAAGGATAAAGAATTAGCATTGACACTTTGTAATTAAAATTTTGTCTACAAAAGAGAATCGGTGCAATTTTGTTGCACGAAGAATTTACAATTCAGTTCAAAACAAAATATATTTAGAAATTGACAAAAATTCGATTTGGATCGCACTACTTTAGATGAGTTTCAAAACTGACTGAGATGAACTAATCAAATATTGGCATCAATTCATAGTGCACATAACGATCGTTGATATTCTTCACAAAAATAACGGTTTTTCATCCTAATTGATCGCTTGCGATCGTTCTCTACGTATTAAATAGGATAATTTTATGAAATACATACATGCTTTAAAATATCCCGAGCTTGTGGCCAAACGTTTTTCTTTATTTTCGATGTAAATTTTGCTGATAAGTTAAATCCACACCAGAACGTTTTTTTAAATTCCTTTTTCAATGAGAATGTTCACAAATCGTATGTAGAAAAAAATTGTTTTTTTTCTGTTATTTTAAATTCATCAGTATTTCTGAATGAAAAGCGTGTAATCCACAACTGAATTTCTATAATTCCGATTTAAAAAAAAAAACAACAACCCGAAAAGACGTAAGAAAATGATGATCTGCCTTAGATCGTCGATTCAAATGACCGGGATGGAACGTTTGAATGAAATTTGTTTTTGAGAAAAAATAGACGAAATTTCAAAATAAAAGAATACACGCGCACTGAACAACTAACACGAACGGTTTGATTTCAACTGAATCAGACGGCTGAAGCGTAGTGCTTAGTAAACGTGCACTACATTGTCGTATATTTCACAACTCTCGCAGCACCGTGTAATTTTTCGTTCCTCTGTGCCTATGCCTTTTTACGAAATACACAGATGGATTGGGTTTTGTGTGGCGAGAGACAGAGGACAGTGAGCAAGGCGAGAGAGGGAGAGAGTGAATGAGTGAGTGCTCATGTATGTGTGCGTGCGTGTGCATGCATGTCCGTGTGGCTGTGCGCTTGACTGTAACTATTCTTCCGAATATTCTATTCTATTTCAGCACACGCTACGATAAATATATTCGGTAGCGACCGCGCAAAATACACTCATTTTCGGTATATATTTAAATATATGTGTGCAAGTAACAGAATAAATTCAGCTTATTTCAGTGCCTTCATTCTCGTATGGGGTTTTAATATTGTTGCTCCTTTCTTTTTGTAGTCGCGTTCAGCCAAAATAAAGGAAGACTACAAAGTAGAAAATAGAGAGAACCATAACAACAACGCACATGCATGAAACCCAACCGATTTCCTTCAATTTTTAGCAGAGAGCATACAGATTTCGATGCGTCACATCACATTTATGAGCACATAATTCTCTCCGTCACCGTATGTCGCTTCAAATACATTTATCGGCATGGTGGTGTTGTTGTTCTTGCTTTTTTCCTTCGAAATGTACGTTAAATAACTAATACATGCGCGATTTCTTCTAAATGCATTTCCATTTCAACCAAACAATTCGAACGATTCCTTTGTTTCTCCCTTCACGCAGCCCATAGGGTAACAACAGCAACTAAATCGTATTGCATTAATATCACTGAGTAAACGATACTATCAAAAAGCAATAAATGACGAAGTTGCTTATCCACAAGATGCAGAGTAGAATTTTGCCGTTTTCTTGGCGATTATTGCTTTCAAGATATGATCTTAAGCCGTTATCTTGGGTTACACTTTAAAAATTATCTTTGCAAAAACGGGTACGGGTGAATATATTTGACACATTACACTATTTCAAATCTGGAAATGTGTTTTTTTTATTGATAAAAATAAAATGATATTCCACATCTTATCCTATATTAATTTTAACAATGCAAAATTTTCATTGGGAAATCACCAGGTTTTTTTAGAACCGTTTTTTTATTTTTATATTCACTGATATCATTGAACAGTTTTTTTGTTGTCAGATTGTTAAAAATGAAAAATGATCAATCTTTATTGCGTCATAATTCATATTATTCGGTATAATTGTTCTATTACCCGTTATATTTTCATGCCTTAAAAAGGTATGATTATCCATGCTTGACTTTTAACTCAGCTATTCATATATTTCTAAAAAAAACTATATCCTTGGTGCATCTTGACATTGTTAAAATCGAGCCCATGTTGTTGAGAGAATGTTAACTTTACCGAGAATAATAAATGCATGAATATCGTTGGATCGACACCAACCCGAAGAAAAAAAAAAAAAAAAACAAACAATGTGTGTTATGTTTCATATTCACAGAAGGATCCGATGAACATATGTTTGTCATGTAAATTATTATCCTAAGTAAGTTTCAACCGTTATCTATATATATGTGTGTATATGGTTTATTTCGTCCTTTTTCAATTACAATATATTTTTGACCATTTTCTATATAAAAGCATTAATTTTCGGTTTCCTGCACTCCTTCTTTTTGAATTGTATTCACAATGCACACAGTTCACTTATACACCCACAAAATGCAATTGCAATGTACTCCACTCTATTATACTCGTTTTTTTTCTTCTTCTTTTTCACATTTTCTGTCTGTGTGTTTTTATTCGTAAACATTATGCGCTGCGGCCATGCAAGGTTAAGTATATTAGTTTTGTTTGTGAGTAACATTTACTTTCACTGCTTTATAGTTTATCCTGATCTTTGCACATTTTGTCGGTAGTTCGAGCATAAAAATGTGCGGAAATGAGCCGAAATGAACATATGGTATTGTAGCAAAAATGCATTCGCACGACATTCACATTCGCTATCTCTCTTGGTGCGCATTTCGATGTAAATTTGCGATGCAATTTTGTCTCGTTCGGACGTTTTTTTGCGCTCAATTTTTAAAATAACAATCAAAGCGCATGACCGAACATTTATTTGCTTTTCTTTCTCAGCCTCATTAACAATCACATCAGGATCGGCAATTTTTGTTTTAATTCGAGGGAAAAACACGTGTAAAAATTTACTTTATCCATGATCTATGTGTGTCTTTTGATAAGGCTTGTTGAGATCAGGACCTGAATATCTGATCACTATGTAAGAGCTGCGCTCTTAAGAGTTGAATCTTAATTTTTTACACATAAATCGTTGATCAACAGTCTCTGACAGAGTAATTCTAGAGTATTATTTATTACAAGCACTTTAGATACGAAATCCGTATCTAAGAAAAATACCAGAGAGAAACGAAATAAGCCTAGTCATATAATTTTCGTCTGAATATCGCACCACATCATTAAATTCAATTGCGAAAAAATGAAAACTCCACATTGGATCATTTAACAGTGCATCACAAATGGATATTTTCTCGGGTTCTTATAAATTGATTGCAGTCCACTAACTCTTGTTCACATTTTCTCTGCTTATCATCATACATTGTACAATATGTATATTGAACAATGTGAATTAGGGTAGATGGTTGCATAATTTCATTTAATTTGATAAAATTACCAAATTTAATGCAAAAATATTAAGCGAAAACAAAAAGTATGCGAGCATAGCAACAAATCTCCAGGTTAAGTGGGAATTATATCATCTCATTTTTGTTCTGTAAGAATAGATGTAGATTTATGTAATCAAATATGCTGGGTATTAATCATGGAATTTGGGTAACAACAAATAAAAAATGATGAAAAAACACATCCACTCTGAACGTACTCGTCTTTCGGTCCTCTTATCTGAATGCTGAACCTGCTTGTGTGTGGTAGATGCCGTGTGGCGATTTTCCCTCTTTTCTTAGAGTCCCTATTTTCACAACACATTTTGATTGCATTCGTTCATCGAATTCATTTTGAAAATGAAATGCAAACACAAGCCAAATAGATGCGAATGAGAGTTGAATGAAATTTAGGGTAGTTTTTGAATATGCAGGATTGTGTGCGTGAGTGTGCTTATGCGTGTAATGCAGAGTGTGTGCATAGAAAAGTTGAAAACGATAACAAATGCGATTAGTTATACGAAAAAAGAGAGAGAATATATTCGAATATTGAACACTAATACAACGACAACCGTTATTTCGTTTGTTGTTTTCACACTCATGTATTGGTGTGCCATATACACAGCATTTTGTGCATTGGATGGTTTTCATATCGTCATGGTTACTGCTTCAATTTTCTCAATATTTCATACATAGTTTAGCATCATAAAATCGGTCTTTTTTGCAGCTTTCATTTCATCAGTTGCCGATCAATTTATGATTTATTTGCGCAGCACATTTTTTGATCCCATTTAACCTTCCATGCATGGCAACGGACAAAGCATCATTTTCATTTTTCTTCGTATCATTCACTACTAATTTGGCCGAAAAATGAATCGATTGGTTATTATGATATCGCCATATGCGAAATTAACCATGAAATAAAAGATATACACACACACGGGAATAATGTATAGATTATTGGTAGAAGTGATTTTTTTCTTAAATCTATACAAAAGTTTAGATATCTCAACAAAAATTTATTTTTTATTTAAAAAATATTTTCTCAATTTCAATAAATATTGCGATACATATTTATC